AAACTCCAGGAACAGTCTTCTGGACTGAAGAAAGTTCGATATTTGAGGTTCCACTGTATGTATGTATGTATGTATGTATGTATGTATGTATATATGTATATATATATATAGTAGTAGGTTGGTAATAGGTAGTAGATTGGTAGATAGCAACCACCCAGGGAAGTACTACCGTCCTGCCAGATGACTGTGAAACAGAAACCTGTAACTGTTTTGCATGATGGTAGGATTGCTGGTTTCTTTTTCTGTCTCATAAACACGCTAGATAACAGGGATATCTTGCTACTCCTACTTACACTTTGGTCACACTTCACAGACACACACATGCATATATATATACATACATCTAGGTTTTTCTCCTTTTTCTAAATAGCTCTTGTTCTTCTTTATTTCTTCTATTGTCCATGGGGAAGTGGAAAAGAATCTTTCCTCCGTAAGCCATGCGTGTCGTATGAGGCGACTAAAATGCCGGGAGCAATGGGCTAGTAACCCTTCTCCTGTAGACATTACTAAAAAAGAGAAGAAGAAAAACTTTATAAAACTGGGATGCTTGAATGTGTGTGGATGTAGTGCGGATGACAAGAAACAGATGATTGCTGATGTTATGAATGAAAAGAAGTTGGATGTCCTGGCCCTAAGTGAAACAAAGCTGAAGGGGGTAGGGGAGTTTCAGTGGGGGAAATAAATGGGATTAAATCTGGAGTATCTGAGAGAGTTAGAGCAAAGAAAGGGGTAGCAGTAATGTTGAAGGATCAGTTATGGAAGGAGAGAAGAGAATATGAATGTGTAAATGCAAGAATTATGTGGATTAAAGTAAAGGTTGGATGCGAAAAGTGGGTCATAATAAGTGTGTATGCACCTGGAGAAGAGAGGAATGTAGAGGAGAGAGAGAAATTTTGGGAGATGTTAAGTGAATGTATAGGAGCTTTTGAACCAAGTGAGAGAGTAATTGTGGTAGGGGATCTGAATGCTAAAGTAGGAGAAACTTTTAAGAGAGGGTGTGGTAGGTAAGTTTGGGGTGCCAGGTGTAAATGATAATGGGAGCTCTTTCATTGAACTTTGTATAGAAAGGGGTTTAGTTATAGGTAATACATATTTTAAGAAAAAGAGGATAAATAAGTATACAAGATATGATGTAGGGCGAAATGACAGTAGTTTGTTGGATTATGTATTGGTAGATAAAAGACTGTTGAGTAGACTTCAGGATGTACATGTTTATAGAGGGGCCACAGATATATCAGATCACTTTCTAGTTGTAGCTACACTGAGAGTAAAAGGTAGATGGGATACAAGGAGAATAGAAGCATCAGGGAAGAGAGAGGTGAAGGTTTATAAACTAAAAGAGGAGGCAGTTAGGTTAAGGTATAAACAGCTACTGGAGGATAGATGGGCTAATGAGAGCATAGGCAATGGGGTCGAAGAGGTATGGGGTAGGTTTAAAAATGTAGTGTTAGAGTGTTCAGCAGAAGTTTGTGGTTACAGAAAGTGGTGCAGGAGGGAAGAGGAGCGATTGGTGGAATGATGATGTAAAGAGAGTAGTAAGGGAGAAAAAGTTAGCATATGAGAAGTTTTTACAAAGTAGAAGCGATGCAAGGAGGGAAGAGTATATGGAGAAAAAGAGAGAGGTTAAAAGAGTGGTGAAGCAATGTAAAAAGAGAGCAAATGAGAGAGTGGGTGAGATGTTATCAACAAATTTTGTTGAAAATAAGAAAAAGTTTTGGAGTGAGATTAACAAGTTAAGGAAGCCTAGAGAACAAATGGATTTGTCAGTTAAAAATAGGAGAGGAGAGTTATTAAATGGAGAGTTAGAGGTATTGGGAAGATGGAGGGAATATTTTGAGGAATTGTTAAATGTTGATGAAGATAGGGAAGCTGTGATTTCGTGTATAGGGCAAGGAGGAATAACATCTTGTAGGAGTGAGGAAGAGTCAGTTGTGAGTGTGGGGGAAGTTCGTGAGGCAGTAGGTAAAATGAAAGGGGGTAAGGCAGCTGGGATTGATGGGATAAAGATAGAAATGTTAAAAGCAGGTGGGGATATAGTTTTGGAGTGGTTGGTGCAATTATTTAATAAATGTATGGAAGAGGGTAAGGTACCTAGGGATTGGCAGAGAGCATGCATAGTTCCTTTGTATAAAGGCAAAGGGGACAAAGGAGAGTGCAAAAATTATAGGTGGATAAGTCTGTTGAGTATACCTGGTAAAGTGTATGGTAGAATTATTATTGAAAGAATTAAGAGCAAGACGGAGAATAGGATAGCAGATGAACAAGGAGGCTTTAGGAAAGGTAGGGGGTGTGTGGACCAGGTGTTTACAGTGAAACATATAAGTGAACAGTATTTAGATAAGGCTAAAGAGGTCTTTGTGGCATTTATAGATTTGGAAAAGGCATATGACAGGGTGGATAGGGGGGCAATGTGGCAGATGTTGCAGGTGTATGGTGTAGGAGGTAGGTTACTGAAAGCAGTGAAGAGTTTTTATGAGGATAGTGAGGCTCAAGTTAGAGTATGTAGGAATGAGGGAAATTATTTCCCAGTAAAAGTAGGCCTTAGACAAGGATGTGTGATGTCACCGTGGTTGTTTAATATATTTATAGATGGGGTTGTAAGAGAAGTAAATGCGAGGGTCTTAGCAAGAGGCGTGGAGTTAAAAGATAAAGAATCACACATAAAGTGGGAGTTGTCACAGCTGCTCTTTGCTGATGACACTGTGCTCTTGGGAGATTCTGAAGAGAAGTTGCAGAGATTGGTGGATGAATTTGGTAGGGTGTGCAAAAGAAGAAAATTAAAAGTGAATACAGGAAAGAGTAAGGTTATGAGGATAACAAAAAGAAATTAGGTGATGAAAGATTGGATATCAGATTGGAGGGAGAGAGTATGGAGGAGGTGAATGTATTCAGATATTTGGGAGTGGACGTGTCAGCGGATGGGTCTATGAAAGATGAGGTGAATCATAGAATTGATGAGGGGAAGAGGGTGAGTGGTGCACTTAGGAGCCTGTGGAGACAAAGAAACTTTGTCCTTGGAGGCAAAGAGGGGAATGTATGAGAGTATAGTTTTACCAACGCTCTTATATGGGTGTGAAGCATGGGTGATGAATGTTGCAGCGAGGAGAAGGCTGGAGGCAGTGGAGATGTCATGTCTGAGGCAATGTGTGGTATGAATATAATGCAGAGAATTCGTAGTTTTGGAAGTTAGGAGGAGGGGCGGGATTACAAAAACTGTTGTCCAGAGGGCTGAGGAAGGGGTTGTTGAGGTGGTTCGGGACATGTAGAGAGAATGGAGCGAAAAAAGAGTGACTTAAAGAGTGTATCAGTCTGTAGTGGAAGGAAGGCGGGGTAGGGGTTGGCCTAGGAAAGGTTGGAGGGAGGGGGTAAAGGAGGTTTTGTGTGCGAGGGGCTTGGACTTCCAGCAGGCATGCATGAGCGTGTTTGATAGGAGTGAATGGAGACAAATGGTTTTTAATACTTGACGTGCTGTTGGAGTGTGAGCAAAGTAACATTTATGAAGGGGTTCAGGGAAACTGGCAGGCCGGACTTGAGTCCTGGAGGTGGGAAGTACAGTGCCTGCACTCTGAAGGAGGGGTGTTAATGTTGCAGTTTAAAAACTGGCAAGAAAGTGATGGAGTGAATGATGGTGAAAATTTTTCTTTTTCGGGCCACCCTGCCTTGGTGGGAATCGGCCAGTGTAATAAAAAAAAAAAAAAAATATATATATATATATATATATATATATACAGTGGACCCCCGCATAACGATGGCATCGCATAGCGATTTTTCCGCATAACGATTACTTTTATCGCAAAATTTTTGCCCCGCATACCGATTAAAAACCCGCATACCGATTTTCGTCCGAGACGCGTCCAATGTGCCCTCACATGTGCCGGCCGTCCCATTGTTTACCAGCCAGCCTCCGCGGTAACATCCAAGCATACACTCGGAATATTTCGTATTATTACAGTGTTTTCGGTGGTGTTTCTGGAAAATAAGTGACCATGGGCCCCAAGAAAGCTTCTAGTGCCAACCCTGTGGTAAAAAGGGTGAGAATTAGTATGGAAATTAAGAAAGATTTTGAAGGGTTTTGGGCTAACCCTGAGAAGCCTATGCCAGTTGTGGAATCCATTGTGCCTACTTCAAAGATTAAGGAAATGTGTGCAGAGTGGTTTGAACTGCAAACCTTTATAGATGAAAATCACCCTGACACAGCTGTTGCAAGCCGTGCTTGTGACTATTTCAATGACAATGTTATGGCCCATTTTAGGAAAGTCTTGAAGAAACGGGAGTACAGAGCTCTATGGACAGATTTGTTGTGCGACAGAGGTCCAGTGACTCTGAAGCTGGTCCTAGTGGCATTAAAAGAAGAAGGGAAGTAACCCCAGAAAAGGACTTGCTACCTCAAGTCCTAATGGAAGGGGATTCCCCTTCTAAACAGTAAGAAGATAATGCTCTCCCCTCCTCCCATCCCATCAATCATCACCAGATCTTCAATAAAAGTAAGTGTCATGTAATTGTGCATGCCTTTTTCAGTTTGTGTGTATTAAAATTAACATTTCATGTGGTAAAAAAAAAATTTTTTTCATACTTTTGGGCGTCTTGCACGGATTAATTTTATTTCCATTATTTCTTATGGGGAAAATTAATTCGCATAACGATTATTTCGCATAACGATGAGCCCTCTTGCACGGATTAAAATCGTTAACCGGGGGTCCACTGTATATATATATATATATATATATATATATATATATATATAATATATAATAAATATATAATATATATATAATATATAATATATATATATATATATATATATAATATATATATATAATATATAAATATATATATATATATATATATATAATATATATATATATATATATATATTATAAAATATATATATATATATATATAATATATATATTATTTATTATATTTATTTATTTATTAAAAAGAGGTTAGCATTTTTTAAACAAATTGAATAATGATAAAATATTAATTTCAATTTACAGGAAAAAGACCAGTACAACAATGAAGTAGTGCGTTTAGGTCGACCTCTACCTGTGGAATATCTGCTCTTGGATTGTCCAGTGTCTACTCCCAATGACCCAATTTACACATTTGCTGTTAATGAAACAAGTTTTCCTGTATCAAACAGGTATGGTATGATAAAAATTATTACATCAGATTAAAATTAATAAGGTAAATTTTTTTTTTTTTTTTTTTTTTTGAATGATTACATCAAGTTTTTCATAAAAGTTGAATTTAGCACAATACCTCTCAAAATGTTTTCTTTTCTTATAATTGTTTTTTTTTTTTTTTTTTTTTCAACAAGTCCGCCGTCTCCCACCGAGGCAGGGTGACCCAAAAAAGAAAGAAAATCCCCAAAAAGAAAATACTTTCATCATCATTCAACACTTTCACCACACTCACACATTATCACTGTTTTTGCAGAGGTGCTCAGAATACAACAGTTTAGAAGCATACACATATAAAGATACACAACATATCCCTCCAAACTGCCAATATCCAAAACCCCTCCTTTAAAGTGCAGGCATTGTACTTCCCATTTCCAGGACTCAAGTCCGACTCGTTAATATTTACTGCTGTGTCAACGATTCATCATTTATTAAGAATGAGCGAGTTATAAATGGATTCTGACATAATTTATCCATCTGGAGATGGAGTAAGGTTAATACCTAGTACTACAACATAAAAAAAAGCACTCCTAGATTTATTTATTTTGGCTCATTTTTGTTAGTTTTCCATTTCTTTTAAAAAACACACGATTGTTCTATATTATAATATCTAAACGCCAGCTCTGCTCACAACAGTTTTGAAAGTTTGATTCATTTATATTTTTTACTTATGGTTATTATCAGCCTTTTAATACAGTTGTTGCGATGTTCATTATTAATTAAAATAGAGATCTGACAGTCCATTTCTCTTCACAGAATGGTGGAGGGGCACCTACAAGATTTCACAGCATTAGCTACATATCTCAAAAAATTTACAAATGACCAGTTTTTAGAAGCTGTTTCAGATCTTCATGTACTTGTATACATTGCAACAATGGACATGTTACCGCTCAGGGTAAGTCTTCTACTTAAATAATTTCCAAAATTTATCCTGAAGGGATCTATAATTATGGTGAGTTCAGGCATAATAATTTAAGTGGAGCATTGTGTGTAGATTTAAATACTGTCTAGTATAGTAAATTCTATTGCATATAAATTCCTGACATTATTACAATGAATTTAATTCTTAGGAGTATATTGGACCCTTACTTGAAGCCGTGAAAAAACGTGACCGTGCAGCAGCATTAGAATGGAAGCAGTCTGGACATTGGGCTACTGTGGAACAGTTGGTAATGGCATCAGGTGGGGAAGGTACTGTGGTTGGAGGTGAGACAGATACCACAGGTAGAGGCTCAAGTGTTCAACCCTCCACATCATCATCCTCATGGACATGTCAACACTGCACCTTCATTAATCAGACAGCAAGTGAAAACTGTGATATGTGCCATCTTCCACAGTGAATTGGTAACTGTTTTTCAGTGCTGATGCTGATATTCAGTGTCTTGTGTGTCCTAGACAAATTCCTAGTAGATTTGTTAATGGTGAAACAAGCTCACATTCTTTACCAAACCAACAGGAATATCTCATATGTATTTACAGTATTTGCTTGTATTATATCAAGCACTGTAATGCATCCACAGAAGAGTGTATTCAGGTTTTATTGACTTGGTTGTAAATGGTTTAAATCCTTAATATAGCAACTGTTGAGCTAAGCTTAATGTTCTCACAATGACCGTCTGATGTAAGAATTCCGTTGAGAATATTTAGCCCATTTTCGTAAAGTTAGCTAAATTTTTATGCTGCAGGAAAACACATTGTGCTCTTATTAAATCATAGATTTTTGTTCCTGGAAAATTTCCAGTACCTTTCAAACTGAGAAACATAAAAAACAAAAGAAAAAAAGTATTGCCATTTTCAACCATGAAGGTTACTTATTAACTTCATTTTTGGCACACTTTGTAATAAAATATTTTTGTTTAAAAGAAAAGTAAAATTGTTATATAATTAGGTAGGTTGGTTGATTAAAAATTCCTTAATGGTTTTTATTAAGGTTATCTTAAAGTGTAGTCCATGTAGAGGGGAGAATTTAAAAAATAGTGTGCCTTGTGTACATTTTTGATAAGATTACATTTGTTTAAGCAGCAAGTTATTGAAGCATATAGCTTCATATTAGCGCAACTTTATCATTATTTTTATAATGCAATAGTTTACTGTTTCTTATGAAACAGTTTTTCAGTTCCATTTGTTTCCATTGTCTGCAACACAGATGTTGAAGTCATTACTGATAGTCTACTTGGGTAGCAGATTTTGTATATACTACTATGGTTTGACTGCAGAAAATGGCATGTATGAAATGCATTAGAAAAGGACATTTGTTAAGTTTTATAATCTTTGAAATCTAGCACAAACTTTTTATTTCTGGGAGAAAATTCTCCACATAAAGCTTTCATCCAACTTGAGGTGTCCATTATAGTACTGATTCTGGTATGTATTACGAGCAGCATTTCCCTATCTTAGTATTGTCAGTTGAAGATCTTTGATCTCTCACTATTGACTGTAGTGAACCTGATGGGTTAACTTGAGAGAGATTCATAATAAAATTTCATATGATATGCAGGGAATGGTGAACATGATCTCAAGTGGTCATGCACTAGGTTGAACCCTTTGTGCTTTGGGTGTAACAGCAGCATAACAGTGCATGTGTATGTGGGGAGTTTTTATAAAAGATATTTTTTATCTGGTTATTTAATTTTATTGTAGTGAAAAGTTTGACATAGGCATTTCATAATCATTGCTGTTACTCTGTGACCCTTTGTAAAAGCACCCATGTTTACTGAAAATACCAAGGATAATTTAATTGGTGCATAACAATCAGGTGTCAGAGGCTATTCCAAAGAAAAGTGGAATTAACCTAACTATAAACTTCACATTAAAACTCATTATTTAGTAATTGGTATATCTGTTACCAGTGTGCAGTTAACATTGTTTCCTATAAAATGGGTTGAAATGAAAGTGCAGTTAAAATTGCATTGAATTTAGTTGTATGCTGTTGAAGGTAGCAATCCCATATATTTTTGCTTCTCTTATTAGAAGTGAATTTTAATTGGTTAAAAGTTAAAGTACCTAGGTCAAATTTTTTTCAGGGTTTATTTAGTGTTGTTGCTTTGATAGCACACAACATTAGTGAGATGATGGTGGTATAACAAGAGACGACACACTCCCGATGTGAGCCTTACTCATGACCACTTTTTTGCACCTGCTGTTGCTAGCTTGTACAGAACCCATTGTGGTCAAGTAGCTTATTAATAAAATAAATGAAATTGATGCACTTTTTATCTCCAATTGAGGCATGTTTGACCCTTATAGTGTGCTGCCCCTTGAATATAATAATACATTATTAATAATGATAATAGATATTCATCCATTTGAGTAACTAGAGAGATTGTACCATATGACCTACAAGGGTTTCGAGCATTGTGGTTAATATTATAACTTGAAAGATAATTCTGTATGATGCACATAACCAAATATCTATTTTTAATGAAACCCTAAGTTTAGTACACTTTATTTATAATGGTGCAGTGCCTGCACTCTGAATGAGTGGGGATATTGCAACTGGAGGGTGATCTGAATTGCAGTCAGCACATTTCTGTCAAGACAGTGATTGAATGAATGATGGTGATTGTGTTCTCTATTTTGGGTAACTCTGCCTTGGTGGGAGATGGCAGAAAAATGGGAGGGGGGGGGGGGATAGAAATACAATATACACAAACTTTGCAAAAATATTTGACATGTTTGATTGTGGAGCAGTAGACTATAAAATGAAGTCAAAATATAGCCAGAAAGGTAAGAAAATGGATATTGAGTTTTGTAACATAGAACACAGGAGTAATAAACAAAATCTAATCTTAGTAAATTGTTCATTATTCCTAGGCACAATCCTGGTGCCTTTACTGTTTCTCATCCTTTTAGCAGTCTGATAAAACACTAGTAATATTCTCATTTTCCCTTCATACTTTGAGAATACAGGGCCTGGGCACTTTCGTTACTCCTCTCCCTTCTGAGAGCTCTACTTTCAGTGTAGAGGTGCTGCTCTTTTGACGTTTTGATTGAAACTAGTTTATTATGCCAACTCTAGCTTCCTAGCTAGCTTGTCTTGTTTCTCCACTGCATTACTCCAGTCATTAGCATCCCTGAGCCTTTTGGTGCTTTATGACCCATGCAGCTTGAGTACATTTTGTGAATACAATAAGAATCAAACCTGACTGATTTAGCATTTCCCTAGAAGTTGTATAAATTTAGCACTTTCTCAATGAATGTAAATAAATAAAATAAAAAAACTTAATTTGTTATACCTAGGTTAAGAAGACAGCTTTGGAAAGGTCTGTAATGTTGCTGTAGAATTGTTTTACTGAACTGTTCAGTGACTGACAATATCCCTCCCATTATGATAACAGTGCAGCTTAATGAAATGGACTGGTCTAATTGCTTTATATTTTGTTCAAAATTTAACCCTTAAACTGTCCAAACAGATTTACGTCCACATGCGTAGTGCTCCAAAAGTAGATCTACGTTTTTTTTTACATATTTTCAAATATAAAAAAAAAAAAAAAGGTAGATCAAAGTTTTTTTTTACACGTTTTCAAATTAAAAAAAAAAAAAAAATTATGTTTTTTTTACATACTTTCAAATGTCGAAAAAACACAGATCTACGTTTGGACAGTTTAAGGGTTAAGGAAATATAGTAAATAGCAAAGCACTAGATAAATATTTTATTGCAAAATTTCTTTAATAAAACCTTCAGATAAATTGGTGAAATTTTAAAGCAATTTATATTATGGTGTAGCGACTTAATGAAATGAGTTACACTTTACAAAAATTTGCTAAACTGAATGCACAATTTAGTTTAGCAAACATTAATGATGCACTGATTGCTGGGCTGAGGGTACTGTATAGTCCTTGTGGCTTAGCGCTTCTTTTTGATTATAATAATGGGCTGAGGGTGGCATATATATCTCTCTATCTTATTAATCTAGATTCAGAGACTCGCTAATATTTGTTATGAAGCAGGCAGTGGCCCATTGGAGTGGTTACAATTCTTCAAATCTATTATGTCATTTTATACTTTGACCATTTATATTTTTTTGTGTATTTAGGGGCTGAAAATTTTGCTATTTAGAACATAATTTAAGTGATGGAACTCTGTGGGAATACATGCTTTACTTAATGAGAATTTACTTTTTTTTTTCCAGAATGTAACTTTCTTATTAAACAAATACTGCCTGCAGTTTATTGCATTGAATTAATCTTGGTAAGTTCTACCTGTCTTGAGCAGCACTGTACAGTATATTTTTGACATTTTAAATAGATCAACTAGGCTCTGATGGATATGTGGGGCAGTGGGCCACCAGCAGCAATAGCCTGGTTGACCAGGTAAATGCAAGATGAGCCTAGCCCATGGCTGGGCTCCAGGAGTAGAAAAACTCTGGAAGGTCATCAAAGGTATAAGGGGAAGTACTAAATCCATTAGGATCATGCACTGCTTGGAGAGTAGGAAGCAATCAAGTTAGATCCATGGAGGGGGCAAACAGATTCAATTACTTGCCCCAGTGAGCCTTCAGCATCAAGGAACCTCTCTTGAGAGGGAGCATTTTAAGTGACATATGACAAAGGCATATGATAGAGTGGATAGGGAAACAATGTGGCAGATGTTCCAAGTACATGGAATAGGTGGTAAGTTACTAAATGCTGTAAAGAGTTTTTATGAGGATAGTGAGGCTCAGGTTAGGGTGTGTAGAGGAGAGGGAGACTACTTCCCAGTAAAAGTAGGTCTTAGACAGGGATGTGTAATGTCACCATGGTTGTTTAATATATTTATAGATGGGGTTGTAAAAGAAGTAAATGCTAGGGTGTTCAGGAGAGGGGTGGGATTAAATTATGGGGAATCAAATACAAAATGGGAATTGATACAGTTGCTTTTTGCTGATGATACTGTGCTCATGGGAGATTCTAAAGAAAAATTGCAAAGGTTAGTGTATGAGTTTGGGAGTGTGTGTAAAGGTAGAAAGTTGAAAGTGAACATAGAAAAGAGTAAGGTGATGAGGGTATCAAATGATTTAGATAAAGAAAAATTGGATATCAAATTGGGGAGGAGTATGGAAGAAGTGAATGCTTTCAGATATTTGGGAGTTGATGTGTCAGTGGATGGATTTATGAAGGATGAGGTTAATCACAGAATTGATGAGGTAAAAAAGGTGAGTGGTGCATTGAGGTATATGTGGAGACAAAAAACGTTATCTATGGAGGCAAAGAAGGGACTGTATTAAAGTATAGTAGTACCAACACTCTTATATGGGTGTGAAGCTTGGGTTGTGAATGCAGCAGCGAGGAGGCAGTTGGAGGCAGTGGAGATGTCCTGTCTAAGGGCAATGTGTGGTGTAACTATCATGCAGAAAATTCAGTGTGTGGAAATTAGGAGGTGTGGAGTTAATAAAAGTATTAGTCAAAGGGCTGAAGAGGGGTTGTTGAGGTGGTTTGGTCATTTAGAGAGAATGGATCAAAGTAGAACGACATGGAGAGCGTATAAATCTGTAGGGGAAGGAAGGCGGGGTAGAGGTCATCCTCGAAAAGGTTGGAGGGAGGGGGTAAAGGAGGTTTTGTGGGCGAGCGGCTTGGACTTCCAGCAAGCGTGCGTGAGCGTGTTAGATAGGAGTGAATGGAGACGAATGATATTTGGGACCTGACGATCTGTTGGGGTGAGAGCAGGGTAATATTTAGTGAAGGGATTCAGGGAAACTGGTTATTTTTATATAGCCGGACTTGAGTCCTGGAAATGGGAAGTACAATGCCTGCACTCTAAAAGAGGGGTTCGGGATATTAGCAGTTTGGAGGGATATGTTTGTGTATCTTTATAGGTATATGCTTCCAAGCTGTTGTGTTCTGAGCACCTCTGCAAAAACAGTGATTATGTGTGAGTGAGTTGAAAGAGTTGAATGATGATGATGAAAGTATTTTCTTTTTTGGGATTTTTTTTTTTTTTTTGGGTCACCCTGCCTCGGTGGGAGATGACCGACTTGTTTAAAAAAAAAAAATTAAAAACAAACAATACTATACATATTACCTTAATTCTTTTATCTATATGATAGAGACAGGACTCAAGGGCAGAGTGACACAAGAAAGGAAGACAGAGGCATTTCTTATTAAGATTATATCATAATTTTTTTTTTAATTCGCTGGCTGTCTCCCATTGAAGCTGGGTGATCCTCTAAAAAGACAAGTTTTTCTTTTTACATTTAGTAATTTACACAAAGCATATTTAGTTCTATCTAGCAATCCATCTGTCTACAAATCACTATATTACATTCATTAAATAAGCACAAGCTCTAAAACTATAATTTTTTTTAAGCTTTTTTCATAGATTTTTTGCATCGGAGCTCCCTAGGCCAGGAGAACTGGGCAGGTTGAGATCCACACTTGAAAACATGTTATGGTAAGTGGAAGTGATAATGGTTAGCTGCCTCTGAAGGGTCGAGTTCTTTAACTGAAGTTGATCCACTTGCTCCTCTAGCTTACGAACATTATTTCTGAGGGATTTTTCATTGTGATCCTTTTCAGAACGTAAAGCAGAGAGCTGTGCCTGACAACGTGTAGCCAAAGCCTGTGCCTCCATGTACTGTTGATAAGAGGCACTCTCCCTTTCACATAGCTGGGCCTGAATCCGATTTGATTCTTGATTTTGTTGAATTTTATAGTGATCTACAAGGGAGGATAAGGTAGCACACTCACGTATTCTTTCCTCTAGTTGAGTTGACGTGTGCTCTAATATTGTATCTTTGGTAGACATTTGTTCTTGCAGGTGACTTGCCTCCTTTGCTGCATCCTCCAGTTGGCGCTGCAGAGAGGAAGAAGTTTCCCGAAGATTTTTAATTTCCTTTTCTCTACTGGAACACTGCTCACGTTCGCTTTTGAGTTTGGTTTCCTTTTTGCTTAATTTTTCTTCTAGTACATGAAGCTGGTCCTGTAATGCTTGTTTTTCTCCTTGGGCTTGTTGAAATAACTCCCTTGTGTCTAACAACCTTTGTTCAGTCTCTTGCAATTTCTTTGGGAGCTCCTGTAGCACATCCAATTGGCCTGTTATTTGAGATGCATCCATCTGAAAATGTGTAATAGCAATACATAATTATTATTATTAAAATAATAATAATAATTATAATTCAATGACCATCTCTCACCAAGGCAGGGTGAACCATTGAAATTATTCACCAACATTCACTCAACTACTGTATTTCCAGAAGTGTGCTGACATAACCATCAGATTATCCCTCCAACTGTAGTATCCCCAACCCTCCTACAGAGTACAGACACAGCCCTTTTAATATTATCATCATTATTATAATAATACACTCATGCATATCTGTAACTAAGCATAAGAGGGAGCTAGAGCATCAAAGGAAAACACTAAAATACAAACTTATGTAAGTTAAGCTACTGCAAAACCAAACCGTTCTGCTTTTATGAATTCCAGATTGTCATACAGCAGTTGATCTGCTGATCATGGGATTATTATTATTGTTATATTAAAAAGGAAGGGTGGGGATATTTGTAGTTTGGAGGGGCATCTGCATTGTAGTATTGGCATGCCTCTGGCAAGACAGTGATAGAGTGAATGATGATGAAAGCGTTTCTTCTTTTTCAGGTCATCCTACTTCGGTGGGAGATGGCTAGTGTGTTAAAAAAATTAAAAAGTAAGTACTAAAGTCACAGTGAATTACTCCATAATAAAGCTGATTGGTTAGGCAAAGAAAGTACCCAGAAGGACAATGTAGAATATAACTTTGCTATGTCTGTGTCAAGCATTAGAAATAATAATAGAGATAATTAAATAATGAGACAAAGTCACAGGAATATGGTTAGAAACTTGAATGGATATATCACTCTGATAAGAGCAACTTGCAATGTGAACAGACTTACTGATGGTGTAGTAGCTAGGTTTACGCTTGGTTACAAGTACTTCTGGCAGTATGGTCAGCCCTATGGTCACTTTCTTGAACTATGTGCTTAATTGAGGGATACAGAGCCCTATTTTCAGCCAATTCCATTGTTCCAGTCGACCAGACTCATAGCTATTTCTTTAGAACTCCATTTGTTCTACCGGTTGAGTACAAGAAACCACCCATTTATCGATTTCAACTACCCAATAAAGTGGTCAGAAATTGGCAATTTGGCTAATTTCATGCAAATTAAAAAAGATGTCAATTTCAAAATAGGGTTCAGAATAAACAATGCAGACATTCCTGGCACTAAAATAACATTTTCTCTGCTCATTAGTCACATCTCCAGGCCCCTCTTATATTACTCTTGCTTTCTATTTTGAATTTTTATTCACAAAAAAATAGATTTACTGTTATGCAGACTACTGCATTATTGTAATAAATATATAAATAATGTCAACCCATTTGTGACTGCATATTAGACCGGCCAGTTGGACACGTATTGGACGGTGATGTCATTTTTCTTCTCTTGAACAATGGCAAAAATCGAACAGTTCCGCTACTTTGAGCTCAAGTTCAAGGTCCTTTTCATCGTGAAACCAATCAAAATCATTTCTATTTCTGTAATATATCTTCCATTCAATCAAATGAGACCAAGAAAACAAGACTACAACCATAAATACTATATGAAAATACACCTCAAAGTCGCCGTTTTAATCCAAAAACACGGCTGGAGCTTTTTTTTCTCGTGCACTGAGTGCTGCAGGATTTTTGTTTTACTGCACACACTGACCACACAGACCCATTCTCTCACATGCGGGCCTACCAGCTCTCTCCCGCCTTGAAGCTGCTAGAATTTTGGTGTATTAATACGTACGTCAAAAACACTGGCTTGTAAGACGTATATATACGACAACGACAGTCAAAGGGTTAATGAAAACAAGATACCAGACACATTAAGCAAATTTCTTAAATTTGCTTGCAGCAGGTAAGTCAACTGAAGATATAAATTCAGATGTTTCCCTGTTAACCCTTTTGGGGCCTAGTTCTTAGGTCATTTGGGTATCCATATGCTTGTGCTCCCATTATCAGGTTGGATGCATACAACTGTGTTGTGAGAAAATTCTGACCAACTTTAGTAAATGTCCCTAGATTACTCTTTCTGGAAAAACAGCTGCATACCCTACTCCCTAATGGGGATTTGGAGCTATTGGTGTACACTGTTGTACTATGTGAATGTGACTGAAAGTATTCAAGGCAAAGAGAGGAAAAGCTTGCATAAAAGTAGGGAAGAACAAACTGCACAGATGGAAAGATGAATGGATGTGCAAAAAACACAGAACTGTATACATAAATAATTATTTTTATACTTACTCTTAATTCAAGCTGAGAATACTGGTGATGAAGTTTTAAATTTTGTTGTTCAAAATCCTTACATTGATTCTGTAAAGACTCAATTTTTTTGTTCTTGCTTCTCAATTTTTTTTGCAGGTCCTCATATTCTTTCTTAAGTTTATCAGTATCATCTTTTTCTTGAGTCAGTTCCTGCCGGAGACTTCCCTTCCACTCATTTAAACACTCGCTAACTGTGTCTTTTATAACAGAAGTGATGTTTTCTATTTCATCTCGACCCAAGCTTGAACTTTCAAGTCTCTTCACTAAATTCTCTATAGATTCACTATACCTTTCAAATCTTATTACTTCAGGTGTCTCTGAAGTAGTTTCAGTGTCTTTATTCTGCGATTTTGCTGTACTGGAAGACTGGCTGGATTTCTCAAGTCTGCTAACATTTTCACCATTTCTTTTGGTATTATCATTTTTTCTGTGCTCTTTGTCATCAGGTCTTTTAGGCTCAGATGTTTTTTCTTGTTTCTCAGTTTCTTCAAATCCTGACTGGTCAGATTCTTCAGTTTCTTCTGATCTCTGCCTTTCAACTTTTTCATTTTTCTTATCCTTTTCTTTGTCCCCATTTATATTAATAGGCCTATGTGATTCATCTATCTCCACTTCATTAGCCTTTGGTGCTATAACTTCACTTTGTGCTTCAGCTAACTTACTGGTTAATTCTGTAACCTGTTTAGCATGATTTTTTTCAGAATTAAGTAGCTTTTCTTGCAGCTCTCCAAGCTGATCCTTGTAGCCCTGAATAGCTCGATCATACATGTCCCGGGTCTCGTTCAGCCTCCTCATCCACTCTTCCTCCAGTGTTGAAGTGTCTATCGTCCTGGCACCTGAAGTTTGATTTCTCAGGGTATTGTGACGATCAACATTTTCCTTCATAGTCTGTAAGTGCTGCTCACACTCCAGAATATATTCATCCTTCTTTAGGATCTAAAAAGAAAATACAATGAGAAAGTTAATAAAGAAGGGCTTGATGTGAATAAACATTAGTGCAAAATAGTTGTCACATTCCATTGTTAATTTTTTTAGTATAATCAAAACTAAGCACTGAACCCATTCCATTGTTAATAAAAAATAGTAAACTTTATTATCTTTAGGAGCTACAAAGGATAAACAGAACTACAAACAGGTACTGGATATAATTCTGGTGATAGATGACAAATATTCCACATAACACAATATTACTCAGTAAAATATTTAGAGTAAACTCTCATGTAATGCACGATCAAGCAATATGATTTTATTTTTAACCCGACTGAAAAAAAGAGAACCAAAACTTAAAATGCAAAATTGCTCGATGTTACATATCAGAAATTTTCGTAATTTGCTTGCTGGGCTATAATCAGTGCTTCTCCAGTCCCTAGCCTCACACTGAGCGACAGCAAATCACTAGGCAACTTTCTTCTTACATAGCCTTTTTTTTCTAAAATTATATAACGTATTAATGCGTAATTTATATAAGTGCTTGTATAAAAGTATGAAGAGAAGATACAGTGCAATAATATCAAGAATCCTCAAAAGATCAGTAGAATATGAAGATTTTATTCAGATTATTAGCCCAAAAGATTAGCAACCAAGTATTATACATTATCATATACATATGTCCTAGTGTAAACATGTAATTAGGCATTTATAAGTGAAAAAAAAGTGATTCGCTTTACTGTGATTTCTGCTTTACAGCAGAAGCTTGGAACCTAACCTGCAGTATAAGTGGGGCCCTACTATATACCCTTAATTACACATTCTTGTGCCTTTAACAGTTTAGTGTCAACTTTAGCTGTATTTCTAGAATTACTGATCATGGTGGTGATTGATAATAAAAAATGAACATAAGAACATAAGAAAGGAGGAACGCTGCAGGAGGCCTGCTGGCCCATACTAGGCAGGTCCTTTACAATTCATCCCACTAACAAAACATTTGCCCAACCCAATTTTCAATGCCACCCAAGAAATAAGCTCTGATGTGAAAGTCCCACTCAAATCCAACCCCTCCCACTCATGTACTTATCCAACCTAGATTTGAAACTACCCAAAGTCCCAGCCTCAATAACCCAACTAGGTAGACTGTTCCACTCATCAACTACCCTATTTCCAAACCAATACTTTCCTATGTCCTTTCTAAATCTAAACTTATCTAATTTAAATCCATTACTGCGGGTTCTCTCTTGGAGAGACATCCTCAAGACCTTATTAATATCCCCTTTATTAATACCTATCTTCCACTTATACACTTCGATCAGGTCTCCCCTCATTCTTCGTCTAACAAGTGAATGTAACTTAAGAGTCTTCAATCTTTCTTCATAAGGAAGATTTCTAATGCTATGTATTAATTTAGTCATCCTACGCTGAATGTTTTCTAACAAATTTATGTCCATTTTGTAATACGGAGACCAGAACTGAGCTGCATAATTAGGTGAGGCCTTACTAATGATGTATAAAGCTGCAGTATGACCTCTGGACTTCTGTTGCTTATACTTCTTGATATAAATCCCAGTAATCTATTTGCCTTATTACGTACGCTTAGGCATTGCTGTCTTGGTTTAAGGTTGCTGCTCACCATAACCCCCAAGTCCTTTTCGCAATCTGTATGGCTAAGTTCTACATCATTTAACTTATAAGTACTAGGGTTATGGGCACTCCCAAGCTTCAGAACCTTGCATTTATCTACATTGAACTGCATCTGCCACTTTTCTGACCAAGAATAGAGTTTGTTTAAATCCTCCTGAAGTTCCATAACATCTACGTTTGAATCAATTATCCTACCTATCTTTGTGTCATCGGCGAATTTGCTCATATCACTAGTAATTCCCTCATCAAGATCATTGATATATATTATAAACAACAACGGGCCCAAGACTGATCCCTGTGGAACGCCACTTGTTACAGATCCCCACTCGGACTTAACCCCATTTATGGACACTCTGCTTCTTGTCAGTGAGCCAAGACTCGATCCACGAGAGAAAATTTTGTAATGGGGTACAGTACATGTATATATTGACTGATTCTCCCACAACAGTTGACCACTCAACCACATGGCATAATCAAGAGAGTCCTCAAACTTTGCTAGGTAAGGTAAGGTAGTGTTTATTTGGCTAATACAGGTCTCCCTCAACATTCGCGAGGGTTAGGGGATTACAAGAGCCTCGTGAATGTTGAAAAACCGTGAATGTTTGGTGCCCTAATATATTGTAGGGAAATATATTACAATACTGCTTAACTTGTTGAACCATGAATAATCATAAAATACATGAAAACGTCGTAAATTGTACTAAATATATACATGTTATGCTTTAATAACGTATGTTATTTAATAACATGTATGTTATTAAATACCACAGACTCCATCACTGCCTCCACCAATGCGAGTCCCTACTACCCTCCCTCCGACCCCCGCAACTGGCAGCCAGCCCTCCCACCACTCAGTGTGGTGAGTGTTTTGTTTGTTCATTATTTGCTATTAAACTACAGAATAAATAATGTAAACCCATTCATGACTGCATATTGGAATGGCTATTAGGAGAGGTATTAGACGGTGACATGATGTGTTTACTCTTGAACACAGCAAAGAATCCAACATTTCTGCTATTGCTAATAATAATAGTAATAATAATAATAATAATAATAATAATAAATACGATATAATTGAAGAAGGAAATTGTACAAAAATACGAGGGAGTGGTTGACACATCGTCAGTGTGACTTTGTTTATGCTGGAGTGAACATTAGTCTCCCTGCTCTTCCAAACATTTCACAGTAATTCAGAGGTTGAGGCAGTGGTATTTAATAAACATATATGTTATAAATAATAATAGTACATGTTATTATTAATAACATGTATTATTATTAACATGTATGTATTTAATAACATATACATGTATTGTTATTGGAGGAATAACATCTTGTAGGAGTGAGGAAGAGCCAGTTGTGAGTGTGGGGGAAGTTCGTGAGGCAGTAGGTAAAATGAAAGGGGGTAAGGCAGCCGGGATTGATGGGATAAAGATAGAAATGTTAAAAGCAGGTGGGGATATAGTTTTGGAGTGGTTGGTGCAATTATTTAATAAATGTATGGAAGAGGGTAAGGTACCTAGGGATTGGCAGAGAGCATGCATAGTTTCCTTTGTATAAAGGCAAAGGGGATAAAAGAGAGTGCAAAAATTATAGGGGGATAAGTCTGTTGAGTGTACCTGGTAAAGTGTATGGTAGAGTTATAATTGAAAGAATTAAGAGTAAGACGGAGAATAGGATAGCAGATGAACAAGGAGGCTTTAGGAAAGGTAGGGGGTGTGTGGACGAGGTGTTTACAGTGAAACATATAAGTGAACAGTATTTAGATAAGGCTAAAGAGGTCTTTGTGGCATTTATGGATTTGGAAAAGGCGTATGACAGGGTGGATAGGGGGGCAATGTGGCAGATGTTGCAAGTGTATGGTGTAGGAGGTAGGTTACTGAAGCAGTGAAGAGTTTTTACGAGGATAGTGAGGCTCAAGTTAGAGTATGTAGGAAAGAGGGAAATCTTTTCCCAGTAAAAGTAGGCCTCAGACAAGGATGTGTGATGTCACCGTGGTTGTTTAATATATTTATAGATGGGGTTGTAAGAGAAGTAAATGCGAGGGTCTTGGCAAGAGGCGTGGAGTTAAAAGAAAAAAGAATCACACACAAAGTGGGAGTTGTCACAGCTGCTCTTTGCTGATGACACTGTGCTCTTGGGAGATTCTGAAGGGGAAGTTGCAGAGATTGGTGGATAAATTTGGGTTTAGGGTGTGCAAAAAAAAGAAAATTAAAGGTGAATACAGGAAAGAGTAAGGTTATGGGATAAAAAAAAGATTAGGTGATAAAAGATTGAATATCAGATTGGTAGGGAGAGAGTAGGGTAGGAGGTGAACGTATTCAGATTTTTGGGGAGTGGAACGTGTCAGCGGATGGGTCTATGAAAGATGAGGTGAATCTTTAGAATTGATGAGGGAAAAAGAGTGAGGGGTTTGCACTTAGGAGCCCTGTGGAGACAAAGAACTTTGTCCTTGGAGGCAAAGGGGGGAATGTATGAGAGTATAGTTTTACCAACGCTCTTATATGGGTGTGAAGGTGGGTGATGAATGTTGCAGCGAGGAGAAGGCTGGAGGCCAGTGGAGATGTCATGTCTGAGGGCAATGTGGGGTTTGTGAATATAATGCAGAGAATTCGTAGTTTGGAAGTTAGGAGGAGGTGCGGGGATTACCAAAACTGTTGTCCAGAGGGCTGAGGAAGGGTTGTTGAGGTGGTTCGGACATGTTAGAGAGAATGGAGCGAAACAGAATGACTTCAAGAGTGTATCAGTCTGTAGTGGAAGGAAGGCGGGGGTAGGGGTCGGCCCAGGAAGGGGTTTGGGGGGAGGGGGTAAAGGAGGTTTTGTGGGGCGAGGGGCTTGGACTTCCAGCAGGCATGCGTGAGCGTGTTTGATAGGAGTGAATGGAGACAAATGGTTTTTAATACTTGACGTGCTGTTGGAGTGTGAGCAAAGTAACATTTATGAAGGGATTCAGGGAAACCGGCAGGCCGGACTTGAGTCCTGGAGATGGGAAGTACAGTGCCTGCACTCTGAAGGAGGGGTGTTAATGTTGCAGTTTAAAAACTGTAGTGTAAAGCACCCTTCTGGCAAGACAGTGATGGAGTGAATGATGGTGAAAGTTTTTCTTTTTCGGGCCACCCTGCCTTGGTGGGAATCGGCCGGTGTGATAATAAAAAAAAAAAAAAAAAAAAACATGTATTGTTATAAATAATAATAGTACATATTATTAATAACATGTATTATTATTAACATGTATGTTATTAAATACCATTGTCTCAATCACTGCCTCTACCACTCCAGTCACACTCAATCTACAAGCACCAAACACAATGAATTATTGTGAAATGTTTGGAAGAGCAGGGAGACTAATGTTCACTCCAGCATAAACAAAGTCACACTGACGATGTGTCTACCACTCCCTCATATTTTTGTACAATTTCCTTCTTCAATTATATCATATTTATTATTATTATTATTATTATTATTACTATTGTTATTATTAGCTGTAGCAGAAATGTTTAATTCTTTGCAGTGTTCAAGAGTAAACACATGATGTCACCGTCTAATACCTGTCCGAATAGCCATTCCAATATGCAGTCATGAATGGGTTTACATTATTTATACTGTAGTTTAATAGCAAATAATGAACAAACAAAACACTCACCACACTGAGTGGTGGGAGGGCTGGGTGCCAGTTGCAGGGGTCAGAGGGAGGGTAGTAGGGACTCGCAGGTGGCGGGAAACTTAAATATGATTTGGCTGCTGGGAATTTGGTGGCTGGGAATTTGGCGGTTGGGAATTTGGTGGCTGGGAATTTGGCGGTTGGGAATTTGCGAATGTGTGAAGCCCGTGAAAGTTGAAAACGTGAATGTTGAGGGAGACCTGTATAATGAAGGAATATGTAGGGACAAGTCTCTTGCAAGGTGCTGCCCTAGTTATATTATCACAGTAATACGTTGAGAGTGGGGATGGAAATGTGTTATTTCCTTGCTTACCCTGGCTATTGTATGGCTAAAGCATGTGGTGTTGCTTTCTCTTCCACCAAACAAGCATTATCAACCCATCATAAATATATCATGCATATGAAGGAGGGGTGTTAATGTTGCACTTTTATAACTGCAGTGTAAAGCACCCCTCTGGCAAGACAGTGATGGAGTGAATGATGATGAAAGTTTTTCTTTTTCGGGCCACCCTGCCTTGGTGGGAATCAGCCGATGTGTTAGTAAAACAAAAAAAAAAAGTTGTACAGACAATTCAGATATGTATTACAGTTAGAAAAACAGTATAAATCTGGTCTCACAATACTGATGGGAGCCAAAGCTATAGTTGGGATCTCTCTCTACATCTCCCAGACAGCCTCCCACACCATTTATTATAGAATTGCTTTATTTTTATTGGTTATTACTTTTCAAAAGCATTTTTAGTATATGTTTCTTTCGTATGGGTGTGGTGGGTTCTTATATGTTTGGTACGATTTGGTAAGGGTATGAGGCTTGTATTTTTACCGATTTTGAAATGAGGTTAGCTGATGCTACCTCTTACTTTTCTGTAATTAATGCTTTCTTTGCTTTGACCTCCATTAAATGCATTTATCTTTGGTATATGTTCATTTGGTATAGGTATAGTGAATTCCTGTAAGTTTGGTTTAATTTGGAATTTGGTAAGGAAATGTACCGAGTGCATGTCAGTTGCTACACCTCACTAAATCCAACTTGGCCCAGTATGCCCACATTAATCCTTCACACACTTTTCAGACACAGTATTTCAAGTTATAACTAACAAAATGTAAAATTGTAGTAATTTTGACCTAGAAGAATATTACTGTGCTACTGGAGACAAACAAAAAAAGTTGATCTGCACAGGATGTCCCAAACTCACAAAGTTGCATTCCTGGTTTTTCAGCTTAAGATTTTCTTACTTATAGAGCAAAAGCACAAAGAATGGTTATGTTACACACAACTGCAATGCAGTTCTACAGTTGTAAAAATTTAATTGGTTCCTCTGTGATGGGTTTGTAAGTGTGGATGTGTATAACTTGGAGTATTTGTCAGTTGGAATCCTCCTGCATTATGTACTCATACCTCTTGTTTCAGTGCTTCAAGGTCATTATGCAGTCTAGCCAAGACTCTTGGACCATATTCCCCATGCTCATGATCTGAGCAATTAAAAATGTCTTCTTGCTCACCAGACACTCCTATTAGGCTCTTTAGCTTCTGGTTTTCAGACTCAACCTGTTGCATTATATAAATTATTTGAAGTATATAGTAATTTAATTTACTTAATAAAAATATGACAGAAATTTCATAAGTATGTGCAGTATATATGACATTACAATTAATAAAAGGTTATAGTACTGTACCTTTAAGACATACTGGAGCAAATCTTCATATTTTTTTCTAAGAGCAAGAATAACATATTCATCTCTACTTTCAGTATTCTTTTCAGTTCCACCACTGCCTTTCTGTACAGTTTCCTGCCTCCTGAGACGTTGCTGTAACTGATGAACCTGCAATGAGCACGAGAAGTTATTAATCTTTCTCCAGTGCATTATTTTATTTCCTCACTTACTTTGCAGCATGTTTCTTGTTTAATTCACATTAAGTGCTAAACCCATTTGGGTCATTCAGTGCAAGACATGGCAGAGGTGTGATTCTCTCTCTGCTGAGTGCAAGACAGATGCATTTTGTATTTGTACTCACCTACATGTACATCTTGCAGCATACTGATCCTAAATGCTGTATTAAAATTTCAGCTTTTCTGGCATTTCATTACTTATCTCAAGCTTACAATGTTTATTTGATGATATTTTGAAAATAGATTTATCTTGCATCTGCTGTCTTTCTCACTCCTCTTAGCCATCATTTAGGTGCACAAATCATGCACCTATGTTCAAGAATTTTCCAAAGTGTGAACTATGAGATAACATTTAAATGTATATTTTAAAGAATACAGTATACAGGAGGGCCCTGCTTTACAGTGCTTTGCTCTACAGCATTTTGCTAATACAGCAGTTTTCAATTATACCCATTCTTCAATTTTTCACACTTCCTACAATAAATATATTCACCACTCACTATAAGCTAAGGACAAAAATATTTTAAAGTAAGTAATGTGTGTTCTGTATATGTATTTTTTAGGCCTAGCTATATAGCTCACTTAATATATGATAGTGTAAACATGTTATCAGGCTTTTATTTGCATTTGAAAATGGATAAAAGGCTATGTTTCTCTTTACGGGGATTTTCGCTTTACAACAGTAGCCCGGAACCTAACCTGCTGTATAAGTGAGGCCCTCCTGTATTTTAAAGTGTACTGTATATTTTAAAATGAACTGTATATTTTAAAGTGTACTGTATAAAGTGTATTGTATATTTTAAGGAGTACTGCATATTTTAAAGTGTACTGTATATTTTAAGGAGTACAGTGTGAGTGCTATTAGGAGATCACAATGTTTCCAATATTTGAGACTACATAAGCAGTTTTTTTTTTAACAAACCGGCCATATCCCACCAAGGCAGGGTGGCCCAAAAAGAAAAACAAAAGTTTCTCTTTTTAAATTTAGTAATTTATACAGGAGAAGGGGTTACTAGGCCCTTGCTCCATAAGCAGTATTCTTCTTTCAACGCACCAGCCGTATACCACCGAGGCAGGGTGGCCCAAAAGGAAAAATGAAAGTTTCTCCTTTTACATTTAGTAATATATACAGGAGAAGAGGTTGCTAGCCCCTTGCTCCCGGCATTTTAGTCGCCTCTTACAACACGCATGGCTTACAGAGGAAGAATTCTGTTCCACTTCCCCATGGAGGTAAGAGGAAATAAACAAGAACTAGAAAGAAAATAGAAGAAAACCCTGATGGGTGTGTATATATGTTTGTACATGTATGTGTAGTGTGACCTAAGTGTAAGTAGAAGTAGCAAGACGTACCTGAAATCTTGCATGTTTATGAGACAGAAAGACACCAGCAATCCTACCATCATGTAAAACAATTACAGGCTTCCGTTTTACACTCACTTGGCAGGACGGTAGTACCTCCCTGGGCGGTTGCTGTTTACCAACCTACTACCTAGGATAAGCAGTATTATTTTTATTATTTGTGGGAAACCACTAAACCTGCAGTGGTCATATAACACCTGGGAAACAGGAGGTAATCAGGTTTGCTCTGAGGAAGAGAAGGATAGATCAAATTCCTTGGATTATACGTGAGCAACAAAATACCTGTTTAGAAATATGTGGCACAGCTTTAAAAAAAAAAGTTGTAGTTCAAGATTTACAAACTTGATAATTAAATTTTTGGTATTCTTATCAGAACTGTCCAAAGTTAAGATGCTGCAAATTTAATAGTTTTTAATAAAACCATATTACAGGCACAAAGGAAGAAAGTAATTAATATTATAAGACCCCTTCCTGAAAGTGATCAAGAGAAAAAAATGAGCGTTTTAAAATACTGCCTGACTTTTATTGACTACTCACTTCCTTTTGCTTCATACAATTTTTTTTTCTATCACACTCATCACACTTGTCACACCCACCTGCCTTTTGACCAAAAAAGGCTAGGCCTTCTGCAACTTCTTTCTTCGTAACATGTACAGCACTTTTTTTTTTTTAAACATCATCAGCCATTTCCCTCCACATATTCATTATTATTAATTCAGTCTTGTTACAGTATTTATGAACAAAGAAAGTAACCTTTCTCATGAGCCTTTTATTTTCTTCCACCACCGATGCATTGCTCTGAGTTAACTCTCGTAAATTCCTGAGTTCTTGTCGGAGGGCTTCTTCCTCTTGGGCAAGCTGCGCTGAGCTCCTATTGTCTGCATCTTCAGCAGGTTCTCTATGATCAGCAAGTTTTTGTCTCTCTCTCCTGTTTCTCTAAAAAGAAAAATATTTGTAAGAGCATTTCCCAGTAAGAACCTACAATGTTTTCAATACTGTATATAGTATATCCTAGTACAGTACAGTCATACTTCCAAATTTGTTTGATTTCATTCCTGAGATCTTTGTTGTGAATTAAAAATACACAAACTCCACTAAATTCTGCCCTGCCATTTTTTTTTTTTTTCAGATTTGGGCTTGTGTTACAGCAGCTTATCCTCACTATATCATTCATTTTCTCACATAATTCCCAGCATCATTTTATCTTAGGTCAGTTTTTTTTTCTTTACTACATCAGCTATTTCTTACCAAGGTAGGTTAGGCTAGGTTGAAAAATTCTATAAAAATCATATATTTAACCACAAATATGCAGTTAAATATTGTGTTGCAGCACAATAGTTGAACAAGTCCAGGCAATATTCAAGTCTGGGAGTGTATCATGCTTAGTGTGAAAAAAAAACACTGAATAAGAAAAAAATATTATGGACAGAGTAAACATAAGTGTGCAGTTTACCAGGGTTACATTATGGACACAGTGTGGTCTTTACTGGCAACAAGATATTTACCTCTACTTTGTTCCTTGAATTTGGTATCTCCTTCTTGCTCCATTTTTTTACAGTGTTACACATATCCTTTGATAAATGATCTCCATGATGTATTTTTCTGAAGGCTTCCTATTAAAATAAAATATTAAATATGAACACAGAGTAATATACAAATGATACTGTATTTAAAATCTCCCAACGGAAATCTGGTTTCTCATCAGTTATTCCGTTTTAATATACAACAGAGTACAATGTACATATGTAACTGATAATGTATTAAGACATAAACAATAAATAATTGCTACTAACTCATTGATATGAGGAAGGATGAGTCATGTGGGAATCAAATTCCATAGACACTTGGCTAGCATGCCAACTACAACAGTATTACACCACCAGTACGAAAACAAACACAAGCAAACCCTCACTAAAGTCTGTCAACTGCGACAGAATTAACTATCGTCCCAGATTGAAATCACAAGATTCTTAATGCAAAGACAAGTACAAAGAAATATCTCATCATATTACCGTATATTCCTGTTATTACAAAGTGAAATTACATATTCTTGTTAAAGCTGAAATATGAGGAAGCAATTATACAGGAATCAAACTGCCAAGGTCACAGATGGATCAGAATGAAAAGGACATAAAGGGAAAATAAATGTTTCCATTTTTCTACAAGATGAAACCATCTGAAAAGCCTCTCTTAATGACAACTTTCATACTCCCTCACAGTATACAGTACAAGTTTCTTATTGCCTTATTCTATATAGAACAATGACACCAAAACATTTCCACTGCCTCCAACCTCCTCCTCACTGCAACATTCAAAGCAAATGCTTAACTTGTATAGAAGAGTGTCAGCATTGCTATACTCTTGATACATTTCCCTATTTGCATCCATCAACAAGTTTCCTTCTTTCTACAAACTCTTCAACACTCCTGCTGCTTACTTTTCCTCTTCTACCCTCTTATTTACCTCATCCTTTACAAAACCATCTGCTAATACATTTACTCATACACAAATAACCCACACATAGGAGAGAGAAAGAAGCTTATGACAATGTTTCGATCCAAGTCAGACCAAAATGTCGTTATAAGCTTCTCTCTCTTATGTACGGGTTATCTGTGTATTATTTGTCGTGGTATTGTGCCTTTTTGTTCTTTACTTCCTTGTATTTAAACACTTTACTTTTTCTAATCTCTTTCATTTCTGAGCTCTACTCTTTCATTCACTATACTTGTGCTATACTTGTGCTTTATAGTAATCTGTTTACATTAAAGTTTTATCACTGATTTCATCATTGCTTAGTTAATCTTAAGTTAATTTTAAGCCAGCCCGTAATGCTATGCATAGTATAAGTGGCTTTGGCATGCTGCTCTTATCTGTATTTTTTGTACCTCTGTATGTGTGCTCAAATTTTTAAATAAATAAATAAATAAATAAATAAATAAATACTACTTCTACCTCTCACCATTGCCATGCTTTTTTGCCTTTACTTTCAACTTCCTTTTGTTACTTGCTTGTCCCTCATGAATGTTCCTTATTTTAAAGTTGGAGTTTTTTAGGAATTGGATCTGTGCTCCATATCCAATTGAAGCCTGAATGCCTTCCAATCCCCCCCCCAGGTGCTGTAAATCCTATGGGTTTAGTGCTTCCCTGAACTATATAAATAATACCTTACTAGGGTCAAAAACTTCTGTAGCTCATTTTAAAAATTAATTTTTTTATAATTAATCATATAGTGTACATAAGGTCATCACAATGCTGAATATTCTCGTATTGATCCAAGGAAGATGATACATTCAGTTCTTTGAATCAAGGCCATTAGTATCAGGCTCCCTACTGAGGAAAAAACAACTATGAACAGCATCTGATTAAATAACATTTATAATGATTGCACTTTTAGGTCATGTCTTCTCAAATTCTATCTTCCATTTATTCATGGAAAGCATCTTCATCCTATTAAATCCCATTCACTTGGGTACTCGGTCTTTGTTTCTCTAGGTTGCTAACCCAAAGCTCGACTAATTCTTGGTATCTATTTACTTATAATGAAAGGGGGCACGTCAGTTGCAAGAATGCCCAACAATTTGCATACCAAAGATTATATTAGATAAAAGTTCATCTGTCCACTAATCACGAACAGGCACGGTAATCGTTTTGGGTTATCCAGCGTTCTCAACATATATAGCGCTATGATGATAAGCTATGGAACTGTATTTATGTATATGTACCTGAATAAACTTACTATTTGCTTACAAATACAAAGAAGCAAGACCAAAGAATGAAAATACTACTCTAAATTAACAAGTAATATAAGGTGAAGATAAAACAGACCACAAAATGGTGACAGCCAAAGAATATCAACAAGAATGAGAGAAAGGGCAGGACATTGCAGAAATGTTCGTATGGGTTGATGAAGCCAACCATTCTATTGTCCATATAATTTCTATTGATTTATATGCATTATATATGTGTCTATTATTTCTGTTAGTCTAATGTAGAATATATGCATCTCTAAACATTGTAAACTAGCATTATATACACATGCATGTACATTCAGGGGTCAAAAGTCTTGTAGTATATATACTATCTATTTGGCTAACAGGGGATCAACCCTCCACCACTCTTCATGTTGAATGACACACTGTTTAACAATTCATATAAATCTTTCATGTTTTCTTTACATACTTACTCAAAGCTTTACCAATGTCTAAGTAAATTCCAGCAGTTCTTTATCTTATTCCAGAAGTTCAGTCTCTCAGGCACTGTACTCTCCACCTCCAGGACTCTAAGTTCGACTAACCGGTTCCCCTGAATTCTTTCATAAATGTTACCTTGTTCACACTCCAAGAACACATCATCATAATAACCACTTGCCTTCATTCATTCCTATCTAACATGCTCACACATGCCTGTTAGATGTTCAAGACTCTCACATACAAAACCTCTTTTACTTCCTCCCTCCATCCTTTCCTAGGATGACCCCTACACTGCCTTCCCTCCACTACAGATTTATACACCCCCCTAAGTCATCCTTTTTTTTCTCCATCCTCTCTAAATGTCCAAACCACCTCAACAACCCCCTCCTGAGCCCTCTGAATAATACTTTTAGTAACCCTGCACCTTCTTCTAATCTCCAAACTATTAACTCTGCATAATATTCACACCACATATTGCTCTCAGACACGTATCCACCACTTCCAGCCTCCTCCTCACTGCAACATTCAGCACCCATGCATACAGTATTAATACTTTTGTTCATGGCTATTCAGAAGTGAAAAAACATGCAATCGTAACCAACTTACTTTTAAAATTCTAGCATCATTGTATAAATGTTGTAATGAATTCTGATGGTGTTGATCATCTGATTCCCATCTTGACTGAGTTTTATCCATTTTCTGAAAAAAAAAAAAAAAAAAAAAAATTGTAACGAAAATCTCTCTTTTCATTCCTTCTCCTGTCTCTCTCTCTATTTCTCCTTCCATCCTCTCTCCCTCCATGTTTTCTTATTTCCTCCTTCCTTTCTTTCCTCCTCCTTTCTTCCCCTCTCTTCATTTTTCCTTCCTTCCTCTCTCCCTCTCCCCTTTCTTTGTACCTCTTTTCTTCCCCTCCTTTCTCTCTATATTTATTTCATTATGACAGGCACAAAGAGGCATGCAATGTACATTCCTTGGCTACCAGCCTACCTGGCCATCATGCAGGCAAGGAAGTCTATGCATTTCATATTTAATGCTCTATAAGCTAGAAAAATATCTGTGGTTAATAAAAACTAAATATTACAAATCAAATGGATAAGGAGTTACTTTTAAAAGTGCAATAAACAATGGTTCTACTTGAAAATAAATTGTCATTAGTGTACACATACCCTTAAGACTTATTCTGATTTTCCAGCTGTAAAAGATACTTACAAAGGATTGTCTAGTGTTTGCCACAAGATCTGGGCTGGAACAGGTTCTTCTGGAGAGTGAATCTTCTTCCTGGTGAAGCAATGACAAAACTTTTAGATTAACAGTACCTGAAAAAATATTTTGTAAATATACACACATAATAACTAGATATGCCTGCCATGTTGAATACAGTACTTGTACTGTATGTGGTTCACCAATATTTTTTCCACTGTCTATTTAAACATATTTGATTAAGATTATCTCTTTGTATTGACATGAAAAGATTGTAAAATATGTCTTAGTAAAAACAAAGCTCAGGGATTGCTATTTGGCTGTCTTACTTCATAACTGCCAACTGAAAAATTCATTTTTGAGGGATATCGTTTCAAATATGCATTATTAAATAATTATATGGAGTTCAAAACCGACATGGGAGGTTCAATCGCACAACCACTAACCACATGACAGACATGCTACATTCATAGACAGGATGCAGCAGGGAAGAATCTTAATCAAGACAAAAAATGAAAAAAAGAAAGGGAGGCACTGTTTTCAGCATCTTTCTAAGGCGTGTATACCTGGAGTATACCTGGAGAGAGTTCCGGGGGTCAACGCCTCCACGGCCCAGTCTGTGACCAGGCCTCATGGTGGATCAGGGCCTGATCAACCAGGCTGTTACTGCTGGCCACACGTAATCCAGCATATGAACCACAACCCAGCTTGTCAGGTACTGACTTTAGGTGCCTGTCCAGTGCCTGCTTGAAAACAGCCAGGGGTCTATTGGTAATCCCCTTGATGCATGCTGGGAGGCAGCTGAACAGTCTTGGGCCCCCTGACACTTGCTGTGTTGTCTCTTATCGTGCTAGTAGCACCCTTGCTTTTCATAGGGGGGATGTTACACCATCTGCCGAGTCTTTTGCTTTTGTAGGGAGTGATTTTCATGTGCAAGTTTGGTACTAGTCCCTCTAGGATTTTCCAGGTGTATATAATCATGTATCCCTCCCTCCTGCATTCTAGGGAGTACAGGTTTAGGAACTTCAAGCGTTCCCAGTAATTTAAGTGGTTTATCGCAGTTATGAGTGCCGTGAAGGTTCTCTGTACATTTTCTAGGTCAGCAATTTCACCTGCCTTGAGAAGTGCTGTTAGTGTGCAGCAATATTCCAGCCTAGATAGAACAAGTGACCTGAAGAGAGTCATCATGGGCTTGGCATCTCTGGTTTTGAAGGTTCTCATTATCCATCCTATCAGATGCGAATGATACAATGTTATGGTCCTTGAAGGTGAGATCCTCTGACATGATCACCCCCAGGTCTTTGACATTAGTTTTTTGCTCTGTTGCGTGGTTGGAATTTGTTTTATACTCCGATGGAGTTTTTATTTCCTCACGTTTTCCATATCGGAGTAATTGAAATTTCTCATCATTGAACTTCATATTGTTTTCTGCAGCCCATTTAAAGATTTGGTTGATGTCCGCCTGGAGTCTTCCAGTGACAACAATGGAGGACACTGTTGTGCAAATTTGGGTGTCATCCGCAAAGGAAGACACTGCGCTGTGGCTTATATCCCTGCCGATGTCTGATATGAAGATGAGGAACAAGATGGGGGTTAGTACTGTGTCTCGTGGAACAGAGGTTTTCACCGTAGCCGCCTCAGACTTTACTCTGTTGACTACTGCTCTCTGCATTCTATTTGTTAGGAAATTATAGATCCATCTACCAGCTTTTCCTGTTATTCCTTTATCATGCATTTTGTGCGCTATTACACCATGGTCACGCTTGTCAAAGGCTTTTGCAAAGTCTGTGCATATTACATCTGCATTCTGTTTGTCTTCTACAGCATCCAGGACCTAGTCATAGTGGTCCAGTAGTTGGGACAGATAGGAGCGACCTGCTCTAAACCCATGCTGCCCTGGTTTGTGTAACTGATGGGTATCTAGATGGGTGTGATCTTGCTTCTTAGAACCCTTTCAAAGATTTTTATGATATGGGACATTAGCGCTATGGGTTTGTAGTTCTTTGCTATTGCTTTACTGCCCCCTTTGTGGAGTGGGGATATGTCTGTTGTTTTTAGTAACTGTGGGATGACTCCAGTGTACATGCTCCCTCTCCACAGGATGTTAAAAGCACGTGATAGGGGCTTCTTGCAGTTCAGTGTCAGTTAAGAAGCAGAAATAAAAAGTTAAGGATCACCAAGGTGATTGATCTGGAGCATGCATGCATACATGCATACACACATGTGCATGTGCACAAACACACACAAAAAAACTTTAGACCATATGACATTAATTTTATTGCAATTCCCTCATGATTCATTAATACTGTAACTACCCTATATATATAATATAAATAAAGGCTATAAAAAAACTGTGTATAGATCAGTTTATCCATGTATTGTATTTTAAAATACACAATGAATCACACAAAAAAATAAAACATTACAGAAATTACAGGAACATCAAACCATAAATTCCATACCTTAAATGGTCTGGTTGTGCGACATGGAGGATGAACCCAAGGTCGTGGATGGAGGTGAGAAGGACAAGAACAAAAATTTGATTGTGGACGTCTCAAGGTCTTTAAGAACCTTTGATAGCGACGGAGCCTTCTGTTCTGTAACATCTGATAGACGAAAAATGCTGTAAGCATAAACAAAACCTTTACTACATTCTACATTACTGTCACTGAATATAAATTACATGTCAACTGTTTAGTCACTTTAAAAGTGCTATACTCTTCAGTGCCCATACATTCTTTGCAAACTTGTAAGCTTCTCAATCAGTCGAACTCATGATGTGAAATATATTTATATTTTCAAATATGCCAGGAAAAATCATTAAACCTATAGGTGTCATACAGTGCTGAATAACTAATAAGAGCAATTATCAAAAGAAAAGTCTTACAAAAATAGACAAATCATCACATAAAAAAATATTCCCCCTGCAAAGAAATATTAATTGGGAAAATAATTCATTATCTGTTGTTACATAACACAGAGTTGTCATAACAAAATTGTAAATTGTATAAAAAAAAAAAGTATCAGTCTTAACAAAAACAGTGGTTACACAAATTGTGGTAATAATAACAATGTGAATAGTCTTATACAAGGCATTATTCATATACAAAGTGGTAGTCATGTACAAAGTGGTAGTCATGCACAAAGTGGTAGTCATGCACAAAGTGGTAGTCATGTACACAGTGGTAGTCATGTACAAAGTGGTAGTCATGTACACAGTGGTAGTCATGTACAAAGTGGTAGTCATGCACAAAGTGGTAGTCATGTACAAAGTGGTAGTCATGTACACAGTGGTAGTCATGCACAAAGTGGTAGTCATGTACACAGTGGTAGTCATGCACAAAGTGGTAGTCATGTACACAGTGGTAGTCATGTACAAAGTGGTAGTCATGCACAAAGTGGTAGTCATGTACAAAGTGGTAATGTACAAAAACGACACAAATCAACACATCTTCATCTGCAAAATAAAAATACACGAACTCCTTTTAAAGAAATAAAAAAAACGAGAGCAATATACTACTACGAGTCAGTACACTACCTACCTTGACTACTTCCAAGTTATGTCTCAGCCACAGGGTTTTATGGAAGGTTCGGCTTACCACACATCCACTGAAGGTCATTCACAATCATTATTAATATTTTTATACATATATTTTTTATTTCTTTTATGATCAGCGAACTTACGTGAGACTTGTGTTGTTGTTGTTGTTGTTGTTGTTGTTGTTGTTGTTGTTGTTGTTGTTGTTGTTAAGGATCCTTGACGGCTTCCACCGCGTCGCGAGCTTCCTGGTGGAGCCATACTTCCTGAAGGAGCGATGCTTCCTGGTTGAGCCATGCTTCCTGGTGAAGCCATGCTTCCTGGTGGAGCCATGCTTCCTGGTGGAGCCATACTTCCTGAAGGAGCAATGCTTCCTGGTGGAGCCATGCTTCCTCGTGGAGCCATGCTTCCTCGTGGAACCCTGCATCTTGATTGAGCCCTGCTTCTTGATGGAGCCCTGCTTCCTAATGGAGCCCTGCTTCCTCATAGATCCATGTTTCCTCATGGAGCCCTACTTCCTCATGGATCCATACTTCCTTATAGAGCCATGTTTCCTCATGGAGCCCTGCTTCTTCATGGATCCATGCTTCCTCATGGAGCCATGTGGCCTGGTGGCTAAAGCTCCCGCTTCACACACGGAGGGCCCGGGTTCGATTCCCGGCGGGTGGAAACATTCCGACACGTTTCCTTACACCTATTGTCCTGTTCACCTAGCAGCAAATAGGTACCTAGGTGTTAGTCGACTGGTGTGGGTCGCATCCTGGGGGACAAGATTAAGGACCCCAATGGAAATAAGTTAGACAGTCCTCGATGACGCACTGACTTTCTTGGGTTATCCTGGGTGGCTAACCCTCCTGGGTTAAAAATCCGAACGAAATCTTATCTTATCTTCCTCATGGAGCCACACTTCATCATGGAGCCCTACTTCTTCAGTGAGTCCTGCTTCCTCATGCAGCCATGCTTCCTCATCGAACCATGCTTCCTCATGGTGTCCTGCTTCCACACCTATCCCTGCTTCGTCATCGAGCCTTGCTTCCTCATTGAGCCATACTTCCTCATCAAGTCCTGTTTTTCAAAGATCCATGCTTCCTCATCAAGCTCTGTTTCCTCATGGAGCCCTGCTTCCTCATCCAGACCTGGTTCCTTAACATGCCCTAACTCCCCACATGAGGGAAAAAATATTGCCTAAAGCTGCGAGATAAAAGAAGGAGGAGCAGGAGTATACTTTGTAAATGGAAGCAGAGCCTAAAAGTTCTTAATCAGGAGAGGTAGACCCACTTGCTGAAGCCCCAGCAGCACGGAACATCTCGACTCTATACTTGACGAATGTCAGAAGCAGTTATCCTAGATAATTTACACATAAATTGCTAGTTATGATAAATATAATCATCTAAATTTGTGTAACTCTGCTTATATGTACCTTTACCTTAATAAACTTACATCTTGGAGGATTCAGCGCCTGTGTGGAACCATTATCTGTTAAACCCCAGAAAGTGGATGTTTATTTAGGTACTGTTAGATAGGTTTAAGTGATTATAATTATCATACATAGTAACGTGTGTAAATTATCTAGGATAACTCCCAAAAACGTCAGACAGACTTATTTCCATTGGGTGCTTACCTGGAGTATACTCGGAGGGTGTTCTGGGGTCAACGTTCCAGCGACCTGGTCCATGACCAGGCCTCGCCATGGATCAGGGCCTGATCACCCTTGTCCCAGAGTTAAATCTGCTGAATTAAAGGATAGAAGGACCAGAGGTGACAAGAAAAAATAAACAAAGTACTAAGAGAAATTGACAGGGTGGACAAGATAAGTTTGTTTGAAGGGCATGTCTCAGGTACACGAGGGCACAGCTGGAAGTTAAAAACACAAATGAATCAGTGGGATGTTAGGAAATTCTTCTTAGTTTAAAAGTGGCCAGGAAGTAAGACGACCTAAACAGCATATTGTCGGTATTTTATACTTTTCTTGCATAACTTGTCAGACACTGCAACATCATGGAATCTAGGTTCAGAGGACATCTACAAGACCTTCTTCACGGCTTCTACAACTAACCCATCCCTTTGGGTAGGACCTACTTCCACTGAGGAATCCCGCCTACCAGTGACTATGCCCTCGTCTGCTACACGTCGCTTTTCACTGACGCCTATATAACCGCCAGTCTCCTTGCCTTTGCTCCTGTGTGTGTGTGTGTGTGTCTCAACAATCAATATTTGCACCAATAACTCATTACAGTTGTGACCGGGTGTGGAAGTGTGAATTGCTCATTACACTATAATTTGTTCATGATTGTAGCCATGTATAAACGTAAGTAACCATTCTTACAGAATTCATTACCTTTGTAACTTGTGAGCTCATTACCTTTGTACCTAGTTCAGCTATCAAAACTTTGGGGGCCCAGTCCCTGGACCCATTACGTACCTCTGTAACCTGTAAATACCTTTGTAACTTGTCATGATTGTGACCAGACCTACCTGGAGTTCATTACCTTTGTAAATTGTGAGTTCATTACCTTTGTAAATTGTGAGTTCATTACCTCTGTAACTTGCTCAGCTATCAAAACTTTGGAGTCCAGTCCCTGGACCAATTATGTACCTCTGTAATCTTTTGACTACCGCCCACAGGATGGGTATGGGGTGCATAATAAACATATTAAGCTAACTTTGCTCCAGATTCTCCACCACCACGATGCTGTGAACAGAAACTCCAAGGCTGAGGGACTGATTACCTCTACCTCATCTTTTGTATATAGTTCCACTGCCTTCTAATTATGTCCTAGAATCTGTATTGATAAAGCCACTGGATGGCGAAACGTCAACAATAAAGATATCCAGATGTTGCACATGTATCTTAACATTGATATTCTCACCCTGACAATAAATACCTTCACCCAGGTAGATCTGTTTGTGAGCATAACATGGGATTTTATGTAGTAGTATGCCATTGATGTCAGCTAGGCCTGTATACCATGTACATGTACTTGTAGTAAATAAAGATTATTATTATTATTATTATTATTATTATTATTATTATTATTATTATTATTATTATTATTATTATTATTATTATTATTATTATTATAGGTTCTAATCTCGCCAATAAAATCCCACGTACCAATGCCCATGCCGGGGACTACCTAGATGGGAATTTCCCAAATTCCTTCTATCTTGCTTCAACTGAGCCCACGGAAGTCACCGAGATTATAAAGTCACTTAAAAATAACTCAGGGAATCTGTCTCATGTCCCACCATTATTGTACAAGAGAGTGGCCCATGTCCTCTCGCATATTATCTCATTACTTTTTAACAAGTCACTAGAAACTAGCACCTTCCCGAAATTACTCAAGACGGCAAGGGTTACACCAATACATAAAGGTGGTGACCCTACAGATTTAAACAACTATAGGCCAATATCAAACTTACCATTGCTATCCAAAATCTTTGAGAAACTCGTGCACAGGAGACTGTATTCATTTATAACGTCACAAAACATACTCAACCCCTGCCAATTTTGATTCAGGAAAAATAAAAGCACTAACGATGCAATCATAAAAATGCTAGATCTGCTTTACACAGCATTGGAAAATAAGGAATATCCACTAGGAATTTTTTAATTGACCTAAGAGAAGCTTTTGACACAGTAGACCACGGCATCCTACTCCACAAACTTGACCATTATGGTATAAGAGGCCATGCGCTTGCATATTTCAAATCTTACCTTACTAATAGGTATCAGTATGTCACCATTAAAGACACAGCATCAACAACACAGCCACTTGATACTGGAGTTTCCGCAGGGAAGTGTCCTTGGTCCCCTGCTCTTCCTCATATACATCAATGATCTTCCAAACGTATCTCGACACCTGAACCCCATTCTCTTTGCTGACGACACGACTTATGTCATCTCTCACCCTAATCTTGCCACCCTCAACACCATTGTTAATGAGGAGCTGATCAAAATATCGACTTGGATGACAGCCAATAAACTTACGCTTAACGTTGACAAAACCTACTACATTATGTTTTGGTAGCAGAGCAGGAGATGCGCAAATTAACATTAAGATCGACAACACTCTAATTGCCAGGCATAATGAGGCAAATTCCTAGGCCTATACCTCGACAACAACCTGAACTTCAGCACCCATATCCAACACATAACCAAAAAAGTATCCAAAACGGTTGGGATCCTCTCCAAGATACGATACTACGTGCCGCAAACTGCCCTTCTCACACTATACCATTCACTTATATATCCATACCTCACCTATGCTATCTGTGCTTGGGGTTCAATTGCAGCAACACACCTAAAGCCAATAATAACCCAACAAAAAGCCGCAGTAAGAATAATCACTAAATCCCATCCCTGGCAACACCCCCCCCCCACTCTTCATAGATCTAAACTTACTCCCTGTTCAGTACATCCACACTTACTACTGTGCAATCTACATCTACAGGACCTTAAATTCCAATATTAACCTTGACCTAAAACGCTTTCTTGATAGTTGTGACAGAACCCACAGGCACAACACCAGACACAAACATCTCTATGACATTCCCCGTGTCCGACTAAACCTTTACAAAAATTCAATGTATGTCAAAGGCCCTAAAATCTGGAACACTCTACCTGAAAATTTCCAAAACTGCAGACACATTCATCACCTTCAAAACTACCATCAGAAAACATCTTATCTCCCTGATACACCCTGTCAACTAATAATACGAATACCACCTGGTGGTTCACACTTACACTCAATCACCCATTTGACCATAAACAGAAATATCAATCTCAATCTCAAAATAATGAATCTTAACTAGTCATAAGTTGGCCTGTGATACTCCAATACTGAAACTATGTATAGTGCCAAAACAAAAGCATTCACATTGCTAAACTCACAACTAGTATTTAGTCACTTAGCCATAATACCAACTTACCTCATAATTTTGTAATATTTTAAACTTAAGATTTAATATAAGTCTGCCCGAAATGCCTAGCCATGCTAGCTATTCTAGTGGTACACCCTGTAATTATTATTTTACTACATGTAAACCACGCAATAACCAAATTCTGTAGCCTGGTGGCTAAAGCTCCCGCTTCACACACGGAGGGCCCGGGTTCGATTCCCGGCGGGTGGAAACATTTCGACACGTTTCCTTACACCTGTTGTCCTGTTCACCTAGCAGCAAATAGGTACCTGGGTGTTAGTCGACTGGTGTGGGTCGCATCCTGGGGGACAAGATTAAGGACCCCAATGGAAATAAGTTAGACAGTCCTCGATGACGCACTGACTTTCTTGGGTTATCCTGGGTGGCTAACCCTCCGGGGTTAAAAATCCGAACGAAATCTTATCTCTTATCTTATCTTATCTTATTTGCATTTGAGTTATTAAGGGCCACCCAAGCATACGCCTTCTTCTATTTGAGGTTTTAAGAGCGACTGACAGCTTACGCTGTACCGAGCCTTGCATTCCGATGTCCAAGAAAGAAACTTTGACCAAAGTTTGAAGAAATTGACTAGCGGGGATGCGTGTTATATGTTCCCCGACGTGCCACAGCTTACGCCTTATTGATTCCTGCCTTCCATAAGTCCGATAAGAGTATGTGTCCCAAATGTAGGCGGGAATAATACGTTATCAATCAGGTTAGATAAACCCCTCACCTAACCTAACTGGGGACCTATTTGCAGTGTGTAAAATAGTACTGCTAAAAAATGGGCACAGCCACCATCACACATTTTTCTCTTTTTGTTTAAAAAAACACACGTAGACATTAATTTGAGCGCCATCTAGGAAGGTAACCTGATGCCGGTGAGGGGCTTTCGATCCAGGAGAAAGGATTTCTCCTGAATGCCATTCATTCCCCAGGCGCTATATGACCCTAACAAGTTTACCGCTTCCCTTGAATAAGATAAAAATCAATTAATTTTGAAGGCCGGTGACTGAATAATGGTAATACTGATAACTCATAGAAGAAAGTCTAAAAATAAGGTGATAAATATTTATAATGATGATCCTTGTCAAACGTCACTGGCTAATCCGTGTGAGTCATGGACGGTGATTGGCGGAGCGGTGAGGACAAGTGAGCTTTAACATGATTGGTGAAACTGCTGTATCTTGCACGCGGAGCTGCTGATATCTTGTCTCTTTCTTTATCACTTATTTCCTACCAAGGTAAATAATAACGGCAGTAATTTTCTGATTGAGCAGATAGGTTGCTGTGGCGGGTCCATACTGCTCAAGTACCATGCATGGGAATGATTGATAAAGTAATTGTAAAGGTCAGTTTACTCATTACAAACAAGGTTTATTTAAAATTGCGCGATGAAGGACTCCAGTGGAAATAAATCCCGTTACTCTGACTTTATTGACCCCTTTAGGGAGGTCCCTGGAAGCTGGTGAGGAGCTTTTGATCAAAGGAATATGATCTGGACTTCATTTTTCCTTTGATCGAACGTGATTGCCTCGTTTCCCCCAGTGCTGTGTCACCCCTACGAATTTAGAGCTCTTCCATGCATGGTACTAGCAATAGTAGTAGTAGCAACAGTAGTAGCAGTAGTAGCAACAGTAGTAGCAACAGTAGTAGCAGTAGTAGCAACAGTAGTAGCAACAGTAGTAGCAGTAGTAGCAACAGTGGTAGTAGTAGTAGTAGTAGTAGCAACAGTAATAGTAGTAGTAGTAGCAACAGTAGTAGAAGTAGTTAGTAGTAGTAGCAACAATAGCTGCAGCAGCGGTAGCAACAGTAGCCTAGTAACAGTAGCTGTAGCAACGGCAGCAGCAACAGTAGCTCTAGCAGGAGCAGCAGTAGCAACAATAGCCGCAGCAGTAGCCATAGCAGCAACAGTAGCTATAGTAGCAACAGTAGTTATAGCAGCAGTAGTAGCAACAGTAGCCATAGCAGTAGCAACAACAGCCATAGCAGTAGGAACAGTAGCTGTAGCAACAACAGCTGTAGCAACAATAGCCATAAGAGTAGGAACAGTAGCCATGGCAGCAGCAGTAACAGTTGCCATAGCAGTAGCAAGTAGCCATAGCAGCAACAGTAGCCATAGCAGCAACAATAGCCATAGCAGCAACAGTAACTGAGAAAATGATTACATGACAATTGTGGCTGATGCATGAGCTGTAGTAGCTGACTGAAACATGACTAGATTACCCATTGAATTTTGAAGCTTCTAGGACATGTAATTGATAATACAGTTAAAAGTCAAATGTGGCAGATATATGAGCTAAAGTAGTTATACTTGAACAATGGAAGATCCCCAGAAAATAGCAGTAGTCATAGGAAGTTGTCAGAGGCATTGCAAGATTCTCTATTGCTCTTCTAATCTTAAGTGTGAATTTTGAAAATAAAGTCTGGTTTCCATTGTCCATGTGAAATATTAAAATTCGGCATGGCAGTTATGAGAGCAGATCCCATGATTTTGCATTTGCAGCTGATGTGTGATTTATGATTGATGGAGCAGCTTCCCAGTTAATATTGTGAGTGTTGTTGCTAACATGTTGAAAGATGGATGAATTCTCTTGTCCATAATGTATTGCCCCCTTGCATTGCATTTTTGCTAAATTGCTGTTAGTGTGTATACTTGGAGTATACCTGGAGAGGGTTTCGGGGGTCAGCGCCTGGTCTGAGACCAGGTCTCGTGTTTGTACTGACATTTTCATAATTATCACTGTTTCTTTGTATTATACTGTAGCTCACAGTATATTGTTCAAACATTGGGAAGCTAATCAATGCAATTACAGGAATTTGAAATTTCTTATTAATTTTTGTACCACTACAACCTTAAAAAAGCCATATGAATACTGTACTCTAAAGTGATATAGGTGTAATTAAGCTTTCACTGCTTGTAATAAGATGCCATTTCTGCTTTTAAAAATCAAAAGTATTCTTTCAAGAAGTAAAAGTTATAAATGATCAGATCAGTAACTTCTTTTGTTCAATTACTACTACAGGTTGGAAGCAGAAATGGCATCCTCCCCATCAAAGTCTCCTCATGTCAAGACATTCCCTGGTAAACTAGGTCGTCCAAGTAGTGTCCCTACTGACTTGATTCTCCCAACACAGCGAGTCAAAATGATCATGAAGAGTTGTCCTGATGTTGAGATGGTACCCCAGGAGGCACTCCACCTTATCACTAAAGCAACAGAGCTCTTTGTTCAATACTTAGCAGAAGAATCTTATAAGAAAGTGGCCAGCAAAGATAGAATTGACTATGATGATTTGTCCAATGCTGTTCATGACATTGAACATCTTGAATTTTTAAGAGAAGCAATTCCTAAGAAAGTGACTTGGGCTGAGGCTCAGAAACTTATAGAAGAAAATAGCAATAAATTTGAAGGATTTTTTTAAGAATACAATTTAACTTTCTTATAAATATGAAATTAGTAAAAAATCAGTTGTAAAAGTGTGTTAGTAATGTATATTTTCTTTTTTTTTTGTATAGAAGTTTAATGCTACATGGGGTTAAAAATATTTGTCATTAAAGAAATGACATCTAAAGTTTCAGGGTTTGGGAATCTGGATTTAACCTGATTGCCTTATATTTACCAGGTTCAGTATGACCCCTATGGGTTTAGCACTTCCTTCAAACTATAACAATAATGAATAACCTTTCATCAGTCAATTTAAGCTTTAAAGAAATATTTTATTTTCATAATTGGTTAAATTTCTGATACTGGTGTCATACTGGATATTGCACTTAGAAGAAATATTTAAGGTCTTTTGTCTACAAAAGATTGTGACATTCATTTATTTTGTTCAGTTCAAGGCATGTAATTTTTGTAGTTGACAGCTATCTTTAAAATGTGTATTAGGCTGAATGTTTAATCCTGTTTTTTTGTATTAACATTTATCAATATATTTCATATACATGTAGCATTTTTGTCTTATTGCCTTATTGTGCTGTAAATTTGCCTTTCAATTCCAATTCTTCTTACTTACTTACTATAACAATTGTTTTTATCTCGTGCAGTTACAGCACCAAAGATCTCTTAAAATTTTCTGTGGCTTCAATACTGCCAGAGCTTTATGCTTATTCTTCTTGACCCCTCTAGCATCACTAGTATTACTCTTGGGTGCTATGGTTAATATCTAAGAGGAGATTGGGTGATGAAAGATCCAAAGTTATTTGATAAATGTACACTGAATAAGACATTTGATGCTCCAAGAAGTAACTGTAGGTAATGTGAGTGTGAAGGAGCTATGCTTTTTCAAATGCCGAGTCCTAAGATGGGAGGGGAAAAAAAATCCACTGTGCTGACAACCAAGACTGCAAGTGTATGCTTACAGAGCTTACTATGAAGGTTATTTCAAGTGTTATGCAAAAAAGGGATGCACATTTTCATTTGCTTTCAGAAAAAAATGGCTTTATGTAGTATTGCTTTACAGAAGGGTTTATCTGATAATTATTAGCACTTTTTCGTTAAAATGTAATCTCCACTGCCTGCAATGAGGAGGCTGGAGGTTGTGGAGATGTTATGTTTAAGGGTAATGAGTGGTGTAAATATTCTGCATAGAGTTCAGAGCTTAGAAATTAGATAATGGTGCAAGATTGCAAAGGGTGTAGTTAGAGAACATTTAAAGAGAATGGAGCAGAATAGGAAGACCAAAAGGGTGTATAAATCCTAGGTGGACAGAAAAATCAGTTAGCCAGACTTGAGGCCTGGCCTGGAGGTGGAAGTACAATGCCTGCATTTTGTTGGAGGGGTGGGGATGTTGCCATCTGCAGGATCACTTGTATTTTGAATCATGATGTCTGAGCATTTCTAGCAAGAAAACTGCTGAGTGAATGGTGGTGAATGTTGAACTTTTTTGGCTCACCTTGCCTTGATGGGTAATGGCCAGTGGTAAAAGATTAAAGAAATTTTCTTGTTAGATTGTGTTTAGGGCTAGTGTTTATATATAGTACAGTACATATAAAAGCTTTAGTAATGCAGGATAGGACTGTGCTCATGTGAGGAGAGTAGTACAGCATGTAATATTTAATTGTAACTTCAAAATGTTGTACTGAATTGATAAATTATTAAATAAAAACTGAGCAACAACTGCAGTCTTCCATTTCTGAATCAACAGTATTAATTATTTTTAAAGTAGTATTTTGTGATTTTTATTTTCTGATTCAAATTGTAGTATTTTGTGATTTTTATTTTCCAATTCAAATTGTTTGAAATTTATTTTCATATTTTAAAGTGAATGCATAATTTGCTTATATTTTGCCAAACAAGTGAAGATGATAATGTACAGTACAATGAAAACCTGAACAGACAGGTATTTTAGTAATTATTAAAATGTTATTGAAATTTCTTAGGCAGACAATGGCTGATGATGTGGAGCCAACAATTGGTGCAATGGCTGTGGAAGAGCCTCTGGATCTCATTCGTTTGTCTCTAGATGAAAGAATTTATGTGAAAATGCGAAATGAACGAGAACTTAGGGGCCGACTCCATGCCTATGATCAACATTTGAATATGATATTAGGGGATGTAGAAGAGACAGTGACTTCTGTAGAGGTGAGTAGGTACAGCATCTGGAAATACACTATCTTCTTGTAATATCTTATATCATCTCTCTCCTTTTCCACATTATGATGAGTGAATTAGACAGCTGATCAGGAAAGAGAATGTAAATGTTATCCTCTTCCTATAATTATTTTCCTTTTTGGGTTCCTTCCCACTTTATGTTGACAGTCCAGTTATTCACAAGAACTATTAAAATAAGAGTGGGATAGGATGTAAAGAAACCTATATCTCTGCACAAAAAGAGAAGCATAGGAATAGAGACACTGATAACACAAAAAATATGACTAAGGTGCATTTAATCTTAAATGATATTAAGTGAAGAAGACATTGCATTCAACCCATGCTCATAATTTTTTTTTTTTTTACCTCATTGGCCATCTCCCACCAAGCAGGGAGATGATCTACAAAGGAGGAACATTCACCATCATTCATTCAGTTACTGCCTTGCCAGACATAGACTGACACTGTTTCACTTTCAGGACTCAAATTTGGTTAACTGGTGTCTCTGAATCTATAAATGTTACCTTACTCCAAACACTCACACAAGTGTATTATTATAATCAAAAGGAAGCGCTAAATCCACACAGGTGTATAAATATGAATTTTGGTATAGTGTATACATAAGCAAGAATGCAACATTTTTGCTTATGTATACACTATACCAGGCTTAATGTTCTGGCTCAAGTATGGCAACCTCAGTGACGTATTGTATGTAACTTTTTTTTGTATGGCTAGTAATCCCTCCTGTTCTAAAATTTAGCCAAAATAAATGCCCACACTTCTGTTGCAGGTGGATGACGAGACTTTTGAAGAGGTTTACAAAACAACTCGGCGAAACATTCCAATGCTTTTTGTAAGAGGAGACGGAGTTATTCTTGTTGCACCTCCTATGAGAGGCGGAGGGATGTAATGTATAGTCTTGGACTAGGAAATATTAAGGTTTTATTAAATAAGTATTCGATCCTATTTTACTTAATACTTCAAGTTTTTGAATTTAGGTAGGGCTTTTTCTAATGTGCTTTGAGCATCATAATTGTTCATTAATAATAATAATCATATATTCATTTAGTTAAACTTCTCAGAAGTTCAGATTCATTATACAATAAAAATTTTACCTTAATTGTGTAGTACTGTCACTAAGGTTATTTATGTAATAAACTTAAAAGTTTGCCAAAGTATCTTTGATATTTGTGTTTTGTTGGACTACATATATGAGCAGCTCTACCAGATTGTTTGTTGTACTATAATCATTGTGCATTATAGAAAAAGACTACTTTGATGGGAAAAATATCTATTTAAAAATGTCTCTGCACTTCATTGGGCAAATTTCACACTCCATCTAGTTGTAACTGGAACTAGTTTTTTTTTCAAAAGCTCTGTTCTAAATTCTGTACATATTTACATAATATTAATGCAAACTATCTGCAAACGAATTTTTCCAGAAAAATAGCCTATGAAATGCAGGAAAAGCATGCTGACTTGCATACTGGCATGTCGGATATGTCAGTAGATTACTCAAAATTCTGGTGGGTATAAGGTAATAAATGTACCACTATATTTGTAATTGTCAAGACAGTGGTGGAAACTGCATTAATTGTCTTGAGATGAATATTAAAATGTTCTTGAATTTGTTGGCTGTTTCTAACCCAAATATGGGTAGTGCTTAGTTTTGATTATAATCTAAATAATGTGACCTAAAATGGTTTATCACTAACCTGCAATATCTCCACATGCTAAAAATCCCTAGCTTGACTAACTAGTTTTGCTTAAGATTCCTTTATAAAGATTACATACCCTCATCAAAATGCTACAGAATGTTGAAACCCATAAATTGCTTTTGACTCTTGCCTGTCTTAAATTCTTCTCTCTACATTGCTTTCACATCCTCTAATACTGACTCTCACTCGCCTCTAATTTATGCTCAGTTTACCTGCCTACTTTGCTCCATTCTTTCAATGTGTAAACCACTTCAACCCATTTTGCAAGTACTGAAGCAACTCATCTTTAACCCGTAAACGGTCCAAACGTATATATACGTTTTTTCAACATTTGAAAGTATGTAAAAAAAGTAGATCTTTTTGTTTTACATTTGAAAATGTGCAAAAAAACTTTGATCTATTTCTTTTTTTGTTATATTTGAAAATATGTAAAAAAAACGTAGATCTACTTTTGTAGCACTACACATGTGAACGTAGATCTGCTTGGACCGTTTACGGGTTAACATTGCTGGTGCAGAATCAGTGAGGTTGCATATATGATAGGGTGCCATTGCCAAGGTTTCCTATGGGCTACACTTACCTGAATTCCTTGAATGTAAATCCCTCTGGGAATCTAATTTTAGATCTTGCCTCTTGCATATATAAACCAAGTTACTAATGTTCCATTCATCACTCAAACTTACATCAGCAGTATCAAAGTTTCAGCCTATGACAGGGTTGATGATAATGTTCTCATGCTTTAGTGCTAAATTTTGCAGCATTAGATCTATTATCCCTCTTCAGTGGTGTTTAATCTACAGGAGTGTTATCCATGTAGTAGAAGTTCCTGGAGTATCATATATGAGTAACAAGACTAGAACAGTACTCAAGTGTCTTGTATCCCTACACAAGTTTTGATATTGAATGCAGCCAGTCTACCTTTGATCCTCAAATAAAATGGATTTTGAAAGTGTAATTGCTATCCATTATAACCATGAGCATTTTGCTGGATAATGGAGATTTGTTTATGTAGTTGAATTTTGTACACTGAGGAGGGGTTGGGGAAGTGTTCTAGAAAACCAAAGGATTAGCTGGGTGTTATATTATTATTATTATCATCAAAAAGAAAGCTGGGTGTTATAAACCACTAAAATACAACTTTTTAACATAATATGCCTAAAGAAGATGCAATAAAGTAAACCCTCACAACATGACCCCTCAGCAGTTTTCTTGCAAAAAAGTTTTTAAAAGTGCAGCCAAAAAGTTTAACTGCGCGAGAAAAACAGAACTAAGCGGTAAACCCACAATTGTGAGAAAACTAACCTGCAAAATATTGGTATGTCATACATTTTCATAGCATTAATGGCTATAGCATTTTTGGTATTATGGCAAAAGAATTTTTATGACCCAACTTGGGTCTCCTAGGCAGAGTATTTTCTTGAGCTTGACTACTATTTCCCACTTACCACCCACTCCTCCTAATTGCATTCTGGGAATATTTTATGAATCATTTCCCTTAAGGGAAATTCAATACTGGTGAGAGGCTATAAATCAAAGGAACTGGACTTATCTTCTTCCTTGGATTTAATCTATTGCCTCCCATTTTCCAGGCAGTGTATAACCCCTACAAGTTTAGTGCTTTTCCCTAAATATAATACATTATGTACCTTTTAAAAGCTTTAAATTATATAATCATTGAAAGTGCTAAACCCATACAAGTCGCACACAACCTTTATAAAAGTATGGTACAGTATCCTTGATATTTTATGTTGAAACACCATGTAAATATAGAGGTTAAGGCTGTTCATAAAAACGTGCATTTTTGTGAACGTAGTAACTGATGTAAACAAGGCATGCCATCAGTTTGAACTTTCGTAACTCAGGCAGCATTTCTACACCTGTACCCCAGTGGTACAGATGGAGAATACCGCCTGGCTAATCCGAGTCTGTGATGCCATACTTATACCTCATGTCTCAAAGAGTAACTGCAAAAATACTGATTCAGTACTGTGCTGTACTTTTTTTTTTAATTTTTTCAAAATACTAATGTCTTTGTACAACATGCACTGTACTTTGAAGGTACAGCATGTCTAATGAGAGGTATCCAAGATACATAATTATTACATAAGAAAAGGATTCTACATTATTTATAGACAAAAATGGGTTGATAATTTATTTGTCAGTTAGGAACTAGTTACAGCATGTTTGTTCATCATATTTTGAAGTAGAGGGCAGAGTACTTTTGGTTTATATTGCCAATGAAGGAAATGTACTGCACCACCTAATTGATGTACAAAATTTATAAAAAAAAAATAAGGCTGTATACTCATGCTGAAGTCATTAAAGGCAGGATACTGTATAGCTGTTTTAGACAAAACATTGTAGAGTTATTACAAATAACCTACAATTTATTAATCTTAAGGTATTATTAGCAAGCACAAACCTTATTCCAAGTGATAAAAAACATGTAACATATACAAAATGTTATAAAAATACTGTGTAAATAATGACAATTGCATAACCAAATACCATAAAAACTGTCAGACACACTCGAGTAATATTTTATGCCTAAACCTAATAGCCGAGATCACATTCTCACTGCTGTAACTTATTGGCAATTGTTCATTCATTTCACATCAAGGGGAACAAAGCCACACTTGAAAAGCATTTTATGTATTTTTTGATATAAGAAAAGTCAGGGCAATGTATGAGCATATAGAGCCCCTACTCTTATATGAACCTCAAAGGGCATTTTTAACCACTATGTATATTCTGAAGCTCTAAATCCATAGGGGTCATACAACACCTGGGGAATGAGAGGCAATAGGGTTCATTCCGAAGAGGGAGAACAGGTTTAACTCACAATACACAACTAACTTGCACACAGGAGAGAGGAGCTTACAACGACATTTCAGCCTGGCTTGAACCATTTACTAAGTCACTTTGTAAGTGGTCCAAGTCAGACTGAAATGTTGTTTGTAAGCTCCTCTCTATGTGCGGGTTATTTGTGTACTGTGCCTTTTTGTTATTCAGGTTTAATTCTTTGGATCAAGAGTTCCTTACTGGAATCAAGGCACCTTTGAGGGGTTTGTTTTAAATAAAGGTGAAATGTCTGTAGTTCTTTAAACGGAAAAATAAAAATGGAACAAATGTATGAACAAAAATCTGAATTGCTACTTTGGAAGACAAAAAATAAGTTAAACTACTTTTATCTGAATCTTGTGTATAGCTTCATTTCTAATCCTTTAGAAAAAGTGCACTCTTCCTGTGGTTATGAAAATTTATAACACAGAAGGTCTTCAGCCTACAGATCAGAGAACTACTATTTGTTAAATATAAAGAGAACTTAAGTTCTGGTATCTGAACTTTAATGAGACTATCGATATGCTGCCCTGTTATTAAATTTGTGCAATATCCAAACATCATGGGAAGAGGCCCTTGCTAATTTCATGCTCTGAAGGAGGATGAGAGGACTAGTAATTAAATGTATTTAACGTTTCTCAGTAACTATGCAGCCTCAAGAAATACAAATACCAGACACAAATTTTTAACAAAATGTAATGGATATTTTGAAATGGATCGGTGATGAATTTATGAAATACAAAAAAGGAGGAGGATGATCAAAGTATGGTAAATTTAATCAAATGTAGTCAGTAATTCTTAGTGTATAAATAATCAATCTTTGTGGGATATTTAAAGTTTCCTGATTTTTTAAGTGTTTATATTAAAAGCTATTTTAGGTAATGTAAGTTATGTATACAGAATTTTGTAATAAAATTTTATGCAGTTTATTCTAAGTTTCAGAAAGATTATAAACCCATATACTGTATTACATCATGATTTTTAATTTTAACCAAACATTTTTTGAAGGAGGGGTGTTAATGTTGCAGTTTAAAAACTGTAGTGTAAAGCACCCTTCTGGCAAGACAGTGATGGAGTGAATGATGGTGAAAGTTTTTCTTTTTCGGGCCACCCTGCCTTGGTGGGAATCGGCCAGTGTGATAATAAAAAAAAATAAAAACATTTTTGTAGTGTACCCTTGTTTTTCTCATTATCTAGTGTCAAATGCAGATTCAAAAAGATTTCACTATAATATCCACAGAAATTTTATCATCAAATCTTGCATAACATCAAGGATTAATTTTACAGTATTTAATTATATAGTACTTTACAAAATTTTTCAGAAACTTATTTTTTCCAGAAATTTGGATTCTGTTGTAATCTGCGACTGAAATTTTCATACCACTTTGAGAGAGTTGAGAGTGGGAGGTATTGTTCTGATGGATTGGGCATGATTTGTGATGGACTCTGAGCAAAGCTGGATGCATAATTGTATAAATTTTCACACATGGCTTGGCTGAATTCCACATAGGAGTTTAGAGTTGATGCTTCTGAAGATGGATTAGCTACCTGGCCTTGAATCTGTATTAAGGGTTCCACCTGAGGAAATATTTTTTCCTTTAGAAAGATGATCTTAGTTTCAATTACGAATAGTATGCATGAAAGTATTTTATGTTAATAATCCGTTACCACAATCAAAATTAGCTTGCTTAATTTACATATCTTTTTCTTATAACCATTAGTTAGACCAAACAGATAAAAGTATTATGTTTAAAGGTAAACAAGGCTCCTGTTAGTGGAACATAACCAAATTTAAAAAGTTACAAGTAAATAACAAAAACCTCAGGAAATGAATAACTAAATATTAGACTGGAGGGGGGGGGGTTATGGAGGAAACAATGTATGTATTCAGATATTTGGAGTGGATATGATTCCACCCTACCTTGGTGGGAGACGGCCGATGTGTTAATAAAAAAAAGTAAAATGATGGCAGATGGGTCTATGAAAGATGAGGTAAGCCACAGAAAAGAAATGCAAAGTAGGTGACAGACATTTATCTATGGAGGCAAATAGGGGGTATCTATGGAGTACAGGGGTACCAACACTTAGGTGGGTGTGAGGCATGTATTTTAAATGCCGTGAGGAGGCTGAGGGCAGTGGAAATATTGTTTTAGAGGGTAACGTAATGTGAATATTACACAAAGAATTTGGAACATAGAAGATGGTGAAGAGGGTCATCAACCCTGAGGGCTGAGGAGGGGTTGCTAAATTGGTTGAACATTTAGAGAGGACTGAGTAGAAAAATATAGATAAGAGGGTGTACAAATCAGTGGAAAGAAGGTAGGAGCTGGAGTCATCTCAGGAAGGGTTGGAGGAAAAAGGTAAAGGAGGTTTCTGAATACCTGGGGCTTGTGCATCTAGTAGGTTTGTGAGAGCATGTTAAATCGATATGGAGACAAGTGGGTTTTCATGGCTTATGCTGGAATGTGAACAAGGTAATATGAAGTGATTCATATAGGAAGTACAGTGCCTGCACTCTGAAGAAGGGGTATGATGTAGTTCTGAGGGTCATTTGAACGAAGTCTGAACTTCTGGCAAGATAATTATATGTAAAGTAAAAGGACACAAGTGCAACTAATGTGACATTTTATTGTGGCAACGTTTCGCTCTCCAGGAGCTTTATCAAGCCATTACGTTGCCACAATAAAATGTCACATTAGTTGCACTTGTGTCCTTTTACTTTACATATTGTCGGTAATTCTACCAACTTTATTACAAGATAATTATATGTTGAATGATGGCAAATGTGTTTCCTTTTCAGGTCACTCATATTTCAGTAAAAGATCACTGCATAAAAAAAAATTGTGAATTTGCATTTCATGCCAATATGCTAGATAATGACCCATACAGACTGCAAGGAACATGTGTAAAAAAAATAAACAATGAACTTTGTAACTATGCAAATTACACAGTATGTGGTACAGCAATAATGAGGAAAATAAACCTTACCAAAATTCCAATTTGTGCATTATGAGACATCTTTTGTTCACCAAATGTGAATCCAGTCTGCAGATCTGCATCACCTGATTGCTTCAGCCCGGATATTTTGAATATTGCTGATGGCTTTTCATTTGTAATGTTGCCCAAGAGATGCCAGGTTGGTGGTTTGGTGGGCTCAGGCCAACTGAAGTACACTGTTGGGAAAGTATCATTGGTATCACTTAGTACTGTACGTACTGTCATTTGCACCAGTACTTAGCAACATAACCTTATAGTACAACTAAATTCAGCTAGCATAATGCCAATGTGTACTAAATGTCATCTAATGTTATAAATACTATGCAACATGGAAATAAATTGATTTTTATTACTGTAACAATTAGGGGGTGCCAAAGTATCGGCAGATATCTGATATGATGGGACCGTGTTTTAGTAGCATTTTGAAGATACTCTAAGAGGTGAAGTACTCTCCTTGAAAGTGGGATTTAACAAGGATGAACAGATAATAGTTACAGGGTTAAAGTCAAGCCTGGGTTTAGCGCTTAGTTTTGACAGTGCTACTTTAGTGTGCGGTCTACCATTTACACTTAAGTGTGCAGTCATTTATTGCCCTTTTATAGCCTTACTTAACCAAATCTAACGTAACCTACCCTTGCCTAACCTGAGCTGGTAGACCGCACGCTAAAGTAGCACCGTTTTGACTGTAATACTAATAATAATAATAATTAAATTGAACAGGTGGTAACTGTTCACTGGAAACTGACAAGAATTTTGAGCATGGTAAAGGCAATGTGTGAGAGAACTTTCAAGGAGGTAAAACACACTGGTCCTTATGTTGTAAGCTCTTAAGACTAGATGGCATTTTATTATTTCTGTAGCAATTTGCAATACATAATGGCATTTACAAGTAAATAAATTCTAAAAATTTTCCATAATGATTTTCTTGGACAGCCCTATAATTATCTGCTGCATACAGTACATTTATATACATAGAAAGCACAATTATGCTACATATACAGCAATAACAAAAAACTAAGCAGACCTGATCCTCCGAGGCCATTGGGAAAAGGTTGTGTTCCTGTGAGGAAGATAACAATGTGGTTGATGTTATCTGCCTGAGGTATGACTGTAAGAAACTGCGTCTCCCCTACTTGCTCAAAATTAGTCTGCACCTGAAATAAGGAAAACTTTGAGAGTAAAAATTATTATTATTATAATCATAACCAAGCACTAAACCTGTAAGTGTCTTAATAGTAGAAAGTAAATCTTGAAATGTAAGCGTCTTACTATTTACATAAAATAATATCATAACTGTAAAACCAATTGAAGGATGCACAATTCAAACTATTATAATTAATTGCCAAAATGTGCCAAGGAGTAATCTCTTTAACAATCTATAATGACATTATTTGTAATTACAAATACAAATAATTTACTTCTTTTCTGCAGTATACAGATAATGTGGTTTACATTTAATAAATATTGTTAGGCACAAAAGAAGGTCACTACATATTGCATACATATACTGTAGTACCTCTGTACATGGAATACTTATATACTGAATAATTATTGCAACCATAACTAAGCGCTAAACCCACTAGGGTCATGCAGCGCTGCAGGGTAGGGTGTGCTAAAGATATACGTAAATACAGAAATAAAAGTAATCAAAACCAGGTAGAGTTCTACTGAGTGAATGAGGTCCAGAAGACTCACCAGGCGCCCAGAGACAATCAAACCGAAGAGGTTGGCCATGACACCAGCAATTAACAACCGATTTTGGAGGACAGTAGCAGCCCAGAGTGCCTGTGGGCGTGGCTTGGTACTCCTTCACTCCAGCAGAGTACACACTGCTGAGCCAGAGTTCAGGGTCGTCTGGATCACCACCCGTCCTCCTCCCTCTTGTTGTTGTTGTTACTGGTACTTAAGGACCATCGTAGTCTGAGTTGTTTTGAGTCTTATCTTTCTGTGTCCAGGATAAAATACTGCCCAATATTTTGGCGAATAAAGAAGAGATTTCACTTTCCAAGACGGGAAAAATACGGGAAAAATAGGGTCTAACTGAAAAAAATATCTGGGTATAGCAAGACACTAACGCACAACCAGCTGGCTTGTGACCGGTTTCTCGAAAGACGTAGAAAATTGTAGCACCAGAACATGACCTGGGGTGTCTAATATAATTACATTAATAATGACCTGTTTACAAGACAGAGTGTAAACCCATTTCCATAATATTAGATTCGGGTACAACAGTAAACTGTTTACAAAATAGTGAAATGTTTACGAGAATAATAGAGTCGTTTGGAATAATGATGAGTTGTTACGCAGTTAATGAATTCAGTCGCATGAACATTATAATGAAGAATATTCTATATCTTAGACATTATCTAAGCCAGAGTTCCCACCCAGGGAACCACTGCCTTGCAAGATGACATTTCTGGAGGTGCTACAAAGAGTACTAATGAAAAGCACAATTCTCCTTTTTTTTACCAAAAACTTATCTAATTACTCAATTTACATTTGTATTATATGCAAATGTGATACTACTTTTGTAGGAAGTGCAATATTAATGAAACATTTCCTAGGGGTGAGGGACAAAAAAAAAAAAAAGACTGGCAACCCCTTATTTAAGGGTAAGGTAGAGGTGCCCTCTCCCTTACGTAGTTTACAGTTTTTATAATTTATTTACTGTAAAATAGTTTATATCTTTATATTAAGTTTATTTAAATACATGTACACATAAGTACAGTTACACAAACTTAAGTGACTACAATTATCATAGTAATGTATATGTATATTACCTTAGATAACCCCAAAAAATGGTCCATTTGGGTCTTTGATATTATTAGTTCATCCAAGTTTAAATCTATATAATGTGTCGCTAATGTATACTTACAATATCTATGAGCCTTTAGAACCATTGTGTATGTTGATATTTCCTGTATTGTTTGCAAAAATCATTTGTAGATTCATTTAATATGTATTTTGAAGTGTGTATTTTTCTTGAGGTGTATGTATTAAGAACAGTAGTGTATATACACTTGGAGGAGTCTGGCTGAGTAAGAAACACATGCATCAAGGATCCTAATGGAAATAAGCCACTTTGACTTTCTTAGGTTATCCTAGGTAATTTACACACATGCTGCCATGTAAGATAATTTATGCAACTGTATTTATGTGTAAATGTACCTGAATAAACTTACATCTGTCTTCAAGAAGGCATTGGACAGGACCCTAAAGTCAGTACCTGACCAACCGGGCTGTGGTTCGTACGTCAGTTTGCGTGCGGCCAGCAGTAACAGTCTGGTTGATCAGGTCCTGATCCACCGCAAGGCCTGGTCATGGACCAGGCCGTGGGGGCGTTGACCCCTGAAACACCCTTCAGGTGTACTCCAGGTATCAAACCCTTTCGGTTGTAAGCCTCACTGAGGTGTTATGAGAGTTACTGTCCTAACTGAAACTCATTTACAACACTAACTACAACTTCCAACTCTCGTAAACGAGCTCATCCTTCATACTTCTGGGCTCTGTGAACCAGCGACGAGTGACTCATACTATTTTTTTTGGGGGGGGGGGAGGGAGGGGGGAACACAATTATGCTGGAGATGCCTCAGCGTTGTGAAGCCGTATCGTCAAACTCTTTTAGGTGAGGTAATGATAGTGTTCGGTGAAGAGTTAATATTAATCATCATGGTCACACTATGTTACGATACTCTCATGTATAACCAGAACGGAGAAGAATATCGCCTAAGGGCACAACTGCGAGGTCTGCCACAGAAGATAGAAAGTACTGAAGGGGGTGAAAGTGTAGGCTAGACAGTGTTAAGGTGTTTGCTGTGTAAAACAGTCTGGATCCTGATATTTGTTATTTATTCATTAGGGAAAAAATCACCCGACAGGGGTCGTGATTCTCAAGTTATAAGTCAAAAGTAATTCATGCCAATAGGTGTATTCACCTAATTGTGGTTGAAGGGGTCAATTCACAGCTACTGGCCCCGACGTGTGCTACCCCGTCGGGATACGTAATGAACTCACAGGTGCTAAATGACCAGTAAAGGTCATTTAGCATCTGGGAGATAGGGTGATAATCGTGCTTACTTCAAGAGTGACGAGCGGTTGCTATAATTTCTTGGATTAAAAGGCCATCAACGGTGTTTTGCAAAATGAACGGGAAACACTTTTAAGTTGAATTTGGATGCATCCTCATGCCAGGGTGAGCACACACACACTTTATGATAAAGTAACAGACGTAAGACACGAGAGAGAGGGGTGGGTTGATTGCATTTTCTTGGACTGCAAGAAGGCCTTCGACACAGTTCCTCACAGGAAATTGGTGCAGAAGCTGGTGGATCAGGCACGTATGACGGGAAGGGCACTGCACTGGATCAGAGAATACCTGACAGGGAGGCAACAACGAGTCATGGTACGTGATGAGGTATCACAGTGGGCACCTGTGACGAGCGGGGTCCCACAGGGGTCGGTCCTAGGACCAGTGCTATTTCTGGTATATGTGAATAACATGATGGAAGGGTTAGACTCAGAAGTATTCCTGTTCGCAGATGATGTGAAGTTAATGAGGAGAATTAAATCAGATGAGGATCAGGTAGGACTTCAAAGAGACCTGGACAGGCTGGACACCTGGTCCAGCAACTGGCTTCTCGAATTTAACCCCGCCAAATGCAAAGTCATGAAGATCGAGGAAGGGCAAAGAAGACCGCAGATGGAGTATAGCCTAGGTGGCCAAAGACTACAAACCTCGCTCAAGGAGAAAGATCTTGGGGTGAGTATAACACCGAGTACGTCTCCGGAAGCACACATCAACCAGATAACTGCTCCGGCACATGGGCGCCTGGCAAACCTGATAATAGCGTTCCGATACCTTAGTAAGGAATCGTTCAAGACACTGTACACCGTGTACGTCAGGCCCATACTGGAGTATGCAGCACTAGTTTGGAACCCACACTTGATCAAGCACGTCAAGAAATAGAGAAAGTGCAAAGGTTTGCGACAAGGTTAGTTCCAGAGCTAAGGGGAATGTCCTACGAAGAAAGGTAAGGGAAATCGGCCTGACGACACTGGAGGACAGGAGGGTTAGGGAAGACATGATAACGACATGCAAAATACTGCGTGGAATAGACAAGGTGGACAGAGACAGGATGTTCCAGAGAAGGGACACAGAAACAAAGGGTCACAATTGGAAGCTGAAGACCCAGATGAGTCAAAGAGATGTTAGGAAGTATTTCTTCAGTCATAGAGTAGTCAGGAAGTGGAATAGCCTAGCAAGTGAGGTAGTGGAGGCAGGAACCATACATAGCTTTAAGATGAGGTATGATAAAGCTCATGGAGCAGGGAGAGAGAGGACCTAGTAGCACTCAGTGAAGAGGCGGGACCAGGAGCTGACCCATGCAACCACAACTAGGTGAGTACAACTAGGTGAGTACACACATACACGCACACTAGGTGAGTACTAGGTGAGTACACACACCACACACATACACTACACGCACCGTACAGGTTGCGTGGCAGTAACTCACATGTTAAATAACCGTAACATACGAAAGCCATAACGATTCACTCGAGTATTTCTTGCGTTCACAGGATGAGCATTAGGGCGCGAGGACACAAGGTCCCTATTGTTAAGAAGCCACTTTTGACCTTTTGGGAGTTTCCTTACACGTGCTGTCCCTGTTCACATAGCAGCAAGTAGGTAACCTGGGTGTTAGTCGACTGGTGTTGCGGGAAATGGTCTGCGTAAGCACTGATGTCAGCTATGGTCTGTATAAGTTGTACCGTGTATTTGTAGAAATAAAGATTATTATTATTATTATTATTATTATTATTATTATTATTATTATTATTATTATTATTATTATTATTATTGTTATTATTATTTTATAGTTGTGATTTGACAAACGATTCAAACGTGCTCAGTGTGGGCTATTGTGACTTTTTATTCTTTTGGGGTCAAATGTGTGAAGAAACATGTCCAACGTTTCCACTAGTGCTGAGAGCGACCCCAGGTTCATAATAATAATAATAATAATAATAATAATAATAATAATAATAATAATAATAATAATAATAATAATAATAATCTTTATTTCTACAAGTACATGATACAATTTATACAGACCATAGCTGACACCAATGACATACTACTGTATAGAAAGCCCTTTGTTATGCAGAGCATTTCCGGCAACTTAGATCAATCTTGTCCCCCCGGATGCAACCCACACCAGTCGACTAACACTCAGGTACCTATTTACTGCTGGGTGAACAGGGACAGCGGGTGTCTTAAGGAAACACGCCCCAATGCTTCCACCCGTACTGGGGATCGAACCACGGACACTCAGTGTGTCAACTGAGTGCGCTACCAACCGAGCTACGGGACACCATAAATCGGAGCTAAAGGCGCTACCAAACTTAGGATGTTTAACTAGTGTATTTCGGTTGCTGCGCGAACCCTCCTCTAATTCACACATCACATGGAACTACTTAAATCAGAAGTGGATCCAGAGGAGCGTCACGCTGCGCACGCGACACCGTTTTATGATTTATTCAATTATTTCCTGGGAGGAGGCTGGAATCAGTCACTGCTATGAGACTTCAAGTGCACTTTAATGCAAGCAGTTTTCTTATATATATATATATATATATATATATATATATATATATATATATATATATATATATATATATATATATATATATATATATACGTATGTGTGTGTGTACTCACCTATTTGTACTCACCTATTTGTGGTTGCAGGGGTCGAGTCCTAGCTCCTGGCCCCGCCTCTTCACCGGTTGCTACTAGACCCTCTCTCTCCCCGCTCCATGAGCTTTATCAAACCTCGTCTTAAAACTGTGTATGGTTCCTGCCTCCACTACGTCATTTTCTAGGCTATTCCACTGCCTTACAACTCTATGACTGAAGAAATACTTCCTACTATCTCTCTGACTCATTTGTGTCTTCAACTTCCAATTGTGGCCTCTTGTTTCTGTGTCCCCTCCCTGGAACATCCTGTCCTTGTCCACCTTGTCTATTCCACGCAG